TGGGGGAAGAAGAGGGGATGTGGGTCACTCTGGGGGGAGCGGAGGGGATGTGGGTCACTTTGGGGAAAGAAGAGGAGATGTGGGTCACTCTGGGGGAAGAAGAGGAGATGTGGGTCACTCTGGGGGCAGCGGACCGGTCCGGAAGGGTCTCTGGGGAGCTGCGGCTCATCCCTCTCTGCCGCACCGGGCTGCGCGCTGAAGCTGTCCTTTTAAAGCAGAGCTTTTCTCTCTTAAACTCTTTTTCTAACTATTATTCAGAGCTCTCTTTTTTCCCTCCATTTTAACTTAATAATATATTCTCTCCAACCCCAAGATGTTTTAAAAGCTTCAAAATACAATTTTTCCGTTTTGGTGGCTTCTTTTGTTTGGTTTTTTGTTTTGGTTGTGTTTTTTTGGTTTTGTTTTGGGGTTTTTTCTGTGTTTGTTTTTTTGGTTTTTTGGGGGTTTTTTGTTTGGTTTGGGGTTTTTTTGTGTGTGTCTTTTGTGTTTTGTTTGGGGGTTCTTTTGGTGGATTTTTTTTTTGGAAATGAAAAACTTTTTTCTCCATGCTTCAAGCTCAGAGTGTACTTCCTAGTACTGTGGCTCAAACAGCTCTAAACTACCTGCATGACAGATTGGATTTTAAACAATACCTTTTACCCCTGTACATGACTACGTAAGTATCTCCAAATATTTCTATTTTGATATGTGACTAAGCAGCAATGCTGCTAAGTGATCCAAAACCCCAGCAGAACAATTTGGTCTCAAATTAGGCTAAAGCAACTCTGACAAGGATCAAGTCTATTTTGAGGAGTATGGTGGGAGATTTTAGGCTTAAAAACTACACTCTGTACTTCACTTGGATGGTTAAAATATGAGCTGGAGATTCATATTGCCTCAGTCTATTCTGACCTTAATTTTATCAACAGGAAGTTTTTCTGTTTTCTAGAGGAATGATTTAATGAATCTTCTGAACTTTTTTATCATGACTTTTTGTTAACTGATGTTTGTGATTTTACAGATGACATGAAATCGTTACAGCAGAGCTACTAAATTAAAGCTTGATTTGCAATTTTATTTTTTAAATTGAAAAATTAACTTTCCCCTTTTAGTGTGGTGTAGATGATAATTCTTTTTTAAATCTACAGGTAAAACACAAGTACATCAGTGAAATTGCTGATGAACTTGTGACAGTCATCAGCTACAAAAAGAAATATACTTTTAATCCTTGTAATTTTAAATCTATCTTTAAAATAACTTATTCTATAACGGACAAAATATTTCTGGAAACATGAAGTTAGATTAAGCTTGGAAAGTCAATTCAGCTGGAGAAAATATGATAGCAATGCTCTGTAATATAGAAAGCAAGTGAAAGTATGATACTTTACTAGGAAGCATAGTGAACACCAAAAGAAACATTTTTGGAGGTGTATTTATATACTTACAGTTTATGTTTGAGGATGTTTAAAACGTAAGAAGTTAAAAACAAGTCCTTTCTCTTGTTTGTTTTTTTTTTTTTCCTAGCTTTCTCCTTTGCTTCTGCTTTTTAAAACCACAAAATGTCTGAAGTTAAGACAAGGAAAAAAGGTATTTCTTCATCCAAGACCAATGAAGATTCACAGAAGGCTGAGAAGCACAGTAATTATGGGAAGCTGGCAAGTCCAAGGACCAGCAATAATCACAGTTCCTTTTGGATGGACTCAAGGACAAGCTTGAGTGTCGTTTCCCTTGCTGTTTGCCTGGTGGTGAGCTGGTAGGTAACCCTCTCTAAAGAGGATTTTAGTATTTTCTTTTGTATTCTGTGGGGTGTATGATTTTCATGTTAGCAGAGAGCTTGAGCTAAGTGTCTACAGAAACATGTTAGAGCCAGAAGGATCCAGGAAAGAGTAGCAGTATTGACAAGCAGGGAAACATGGGCGTGCAGTGAGTTACTGTAGAAGCTCCATCTGTTACATGAGGTTGAAGGTGCCTTGCTCAGAAATTCTAAAGACCTGCTTTGGAGACTGCATCTTCCTGGAGAACGACTTAGGCTGACAGGAAGTGCTCGTTGAGCAGGCAATAAATGGACAGAAGAAGTGAAATAGAGTTTTCTGTAAATAATTTCCTCATCAGTGTAATAAACCGTTCATCAGGTGGAGTCCTTAAGTAAAGGTCAAATGCCTTTGTTAAAGATGTTTTAAAATATCTTAGCAGCATCAGTGCCTTAGTTACCCTAGCATGCAGTGTAAAAGCAAAGACATCTATCAATGCTTCCTTGCTGTCATACCTTTTGTAGAAGTATCAAGACAGATCAATTTGTTTTTCTTTTTTTGCCATATATTGATCTAGCAAATTTTGTGAAAACAAATCCCTCCAGTAACAATTTGCTCTGAATCAGGTCCTGAAATACTTAATATATACTAATTAAGAAGTTACGTTTTCTGTTTATTTGCTTGAAATTTCCAGGTTTCTATTTCAGCAGTCAGGTCAATTTTCTGATCTGGAAAGAAAGTACAATTTTTTACATCAAGAAGCTGAAAAAATCCTGGATGTGGGAAATAAAGTAAACTTAATTTCTGAAAAGGTAATAATTAACATCTCAATTGGATGATCTTTTGTGAACATTTGTCATTGCTTACTTCACTGTTATTTCATTAATTTAACTGCCTGTTTTAAAACAAGTTTTCAGAATGTGTTTTACTTGCCTGTGAATAGGCATTTAGAGACTATTTCATGTGACAAAGCATGTCAATCCATGCCATTGTTCCAGTAGGTTGTATCTCAGTATAATTTTTTAGAAACTAAACTATTTTTAAGAACTTACATATATGCATGTTTCATTTACCATTCCTCTTTCATGTGCAATTCTTAGGTACATTGATTTGAAGAAAATGTACCGGCATTTTGATGTAGCAGACCTGTTCTAATAATATGAAGACATAATAAAGTGATAGATAAGAAAATACTATAGTAATGAAAAAAGATATTACCACGTGTGACATTATCCAGTAGAAAAGATGTGCTGGCTGCTGAATTATCCCTGATACATTATGAATAATGATGGAAGCATGGCATGGCTCATGCCAGTGATTTTATTTCAGCACTGATCTCTGAATTATGTCATTCATATATTATGTAATTTGGATATTTATATACTACAGATTTCAAAGTGTTGCATGGGATTTACTGTATTTTTGACAAAAAAAAACAAGCATGGAAAATTGCATATATGCTATAGAAGTTCAAAACAGACATACCTTTTTTTCTGTGACTTTTTCATGCTAGGTTAATCAATGATATTTTAAAGAGGAACCATGGAAACACACCATGGAGGAACTTTGTAACAAGTACAGTGGTTTTTAAGGGACTTTATTATCTCTTAATAAATGGAAATGGTTTTCTGTTGTTACTTTTGTTAAGTAGACACAGACATTGTTTTGTGTTGTAAATGCAGCTTGAGTCTTCTGAAAGTATCCTGCGAGAAGCTGCCTCATCCATCTCTGTGATGACTGAGTTTGGGCAGGAAATATCTTCTCTTCATAACACCATAAATGATATTCAGAACAATGAACAGACTCTATCTCTAAAGATGCAGAGAATTAATGAGAAGTTCCAAAATGTTACAAATCCCTGGAGAAGAAGTCTGGATGAAATGAACACAAATGCTAGTGGTTTAAAATCTGAAGCAAAGTTCATTCATACAGAAGTTACTTCCAAAATTAATGAAGTTGACCAAAGAATTAAATCCCTTGCAGAAAGAGTAAGAGATTTGGAAGACAGTACAGCCAGAAATATCAGAACACTAAAAAAGCAAGAAGATGATGAATTTTCTAGAGTTGAACAAAAGTTGAACTTGGATGCAAAGTCAGTTGAAAAGATAGAAGAAGAACAGAATAGTCTGGTAGCCAAGGACACAGACCTGAATCAGAAACTTGCAAACTATGAACCTAAAATTGAGGAGTGCAAGAGCCATTTGCCAACAATTGAAAATGCTATTCACTCCATTCTTAGGTTGTCAAGTGAATTGCTTGGTATGGAGAAAAAGATAGAGGACTTGAAGACACAGCTGTACGCTGTGGAAAATGACATGCTGAAAACTGTTTCTGATACAGTGGTGATGCAGAAGGCTCTTGAAGGCCTCCAGTCCAATGGCAGCTTGTTCAAAGTGCTGCATGAGCTAGCTGTTCTAGAAGCAGGGCCTGACATAGCAGTATCTTCAAAAGCAGAAGTAACTTTAGAAAGCTTTAACTTCGAAAATGACCAGAATGGGGATAAGTGAATTTGGTCTCAGGCTTTTCATTGATGAAAAAGCACTTTTTTATAAATAATGTGATTTAAACCTATATCAAAGATCACTGATGTACTGTCACTGATCTAAAGATCATTGGAACAGCTTGAAAGGTGGAGAAAGAGGGTAGTGAGCAAGGAAGTAACACTTTGTTAAAGAAGGAAAGTAATATTTTCTTAAATTAAGGATTATTTGCAGTTTTTTTATTAAAAACAATTTGAAGCCAGGTATTTAGATTTAAGGGGGGGAAAGTTAATATTTTTAGTTTGTATTTAGTTTTCACTACCTAGTTTCTTTTGTTGTTACTTTGTGTATTTTTTTCCATAGACTTGTAACACAGTGAACTGATGATTTGTGTTTTCAGAGGTCACCTTGGAAAGTCACGTAGCACCTTCTTGTAATTTTTTGTTGCAATAGAAGAAGTACTAACATTTATTAAGTATACTGACAAGAAAAAAAAAATCTGGTTGTGTTATAACAGAAATTGATTTCCTAGAGACAGATTTTGCACTCAAATTGAATGTCAGAATAGTAAGGTATTTCATTAAAGTATAGCTTGAATTTTGACATTGAGTTCTTAAGCTAGAAATATTTTTGTATCCCTCTAGTGAATTTTGACATTGAGTTCTTAAGCTAGAAATATTTTTGTATCCCTCTAGTGTGAAAAGACTTGGAACTTAATGAAACAACTGGAAGATCTTCAAATAATTTCTCACATTAAATATCTGCAGGAAGATATTTATACAATGAAAACATGGTCTAGCCGCATAATTAAAAAACAAGAAGAACTGGAGAAGAATTTAACAAGCCTTTTTCATGCAGTTTCAAGCGCTGAACAGGATGCAGCTTCTGTAGCAAAAAACATAACATTGACAATTGTGACAGTAAAAACTGACATAAGGCGCATTTCAGGCCTGGTCTCAGACATGACTGCACTGACAGATTCTTTGCAAACATTAGAAGATAAAGTAGAAAAAGGTGAAAAGGCAACAGTAAAAAATATAGGTGACCTCCTTACCAGTAGCATCGACCGAAGTACGAAAATACAAAGCCTGGCATCCAGTAACGCAAGAAAAATTGAGCAAATTAAGACATCACTGTCTGAGTTAAAGAGCAATTTTGACAAGCATTCTGATAGACTTTTGAATCTTGAAGGTGACAGAGCAAAAGTTCTGAAGACAGTTGCATTTGCAAATGATTTGAAACCTAAGATGTACAGAGTTAAAAAGGAGTTTGCCATCTTGGAGCCCTTAATAAATGACCTAACACTGAGAATAGGAAGATTAGTGGAGGAAGTTTTGCAACGGCAGAAAGAAATTGCTTTACTGAATGAGAAATTGGCCAATCTAACAAGAGTTCAAACTGAGATTAAGGATGTGAAAGATGAAATAACTAAGATTTCAGATATTAATTGATCACTGAAAGGCAATTGCCTAAAGAATAATGTTTGAGGAGTGTGAACTCCCATCATGTGTAGTACTGAGAAGGCAGGCAATATTTAAATGCTTCATTTAGAAGCACACCTAAACCTGAAATTTGTCCTATTCTTTTGAACAGGACAGGAAAAAGTCATCTTATTTCAAGGGAGAAATAATAATGTGAACAAAAAATGTACCTCTCTGCATGTATTTTTCTTTCTGAAGAATGAGAGATGCTATATTTAATAAATTGGGTTTTTTGTATAATAAAGCAGTGTTAAAGTACAGAATTAAGTTCTTAGAGTTTGCTTTCACAAAGAAAGCAGGACCCAAGAATGACAGATCTCCAGTTTCACTTTCCTGCTGCAAAGGAAGGAATAGGATTGTGGTTTCCAGCTGAACAAAAGGTAGTCCAACAGCAATAGCACTTTGTCTCTATTTACTCTATGATTTTTGTAAACCAGTTTCTTTTTAAAATAATACTTAACAAGGTAAATGCAGTGAAGCAAGAAATCCTCAGAAATATTGCTGATGCTTCCAGAAAGTTTGTCATACATTCAGATGGAATAATTTGTGTAAGGCTTTGTGTGAGGCTTTATAATAGTAAATCAAAATTACTGCGCAGCACTGTTCTGTCTTTAAAACAGAACACTCTATAGGGACAATGCTCTGAAAGATGTAATAATGCTGCTGATGGCTTTATCCCAAAGTGTCTGTTCAGAAATCCTAACAGTGTTAGTCATTCATTATTTCTTAGTCTGTAAAATACTAAAGTGAGCAGCAGAATTAGTAGAGAAGCTACTTGTATCCCAAAAGGCTACTGCTATGAACTATTGGGACTATTTAAGTGCTGAAGAACAACAGATTTGAGACATTTGAAGTAGACAGTAACAAGACAGTGGGAATGTTTAAGAGGAAGGTGGGGGAGAGAAGTGCATTAAATAAGAATAAAAATGGCTATAAATATCAATTGGAAGCAATACAACAATTCAGAAAATCCCTGTAAATGAAATCATATAAAGAAGTGTAAGTATACAGTAAAGTCTTTATGCCTTTTTAGTTGGCCACACCTTAACATCTGGCAACTACTAGACCCTCAATTGTATGGAAGATGCAAACATTCCTCTCCCTCACTATTTTCATCCTCATTCAGCATTCCATGTCTTTTGGTCTGCTTCATGTTTTGGTCTTCTGTACTTTCTTTGCTTCATTTGCCTACAGTTAGCCTCCAATACTTTGTTTAAAGTTTTTCTCTGTTTGGTATAGGTCCATTCCTATCTTCCCTTTTCTTCAACCTCTTTCCAGTCCACCTGACAGATGGCAAGAATAAACCTGTCAAAAGACAAGTTTTCCTAGAAGCATCCACAGACATTCTACCAAGCCCTGTCCCTTTGCTCTTCCACACAGTTCTTAAGTGAGCTCCTGAATATAACCAAATGGCATTTGAAGGAGGCAGCAACATTAAAGAACAGCCATGGTAAAGTATGCATTGCCTGTCATACCTCAAGCAAAGTATGTACACATGCACATACACCTTAGGGGATTGAGGTTTACATAATAAATATATTGTGGATGCAAGGCATCACAGGCCACAGTCATTTTATTCACTTTGCTTTCAATTTTATGAATGCATCATTTGTGGTCAGTAGCCAGTATGACTCGAAGAGGCAGAACTGGAGAACTGGTAGAGCTACATCTACACAAGTGATGTGGAAAATATATTCCAGCTGCACAGTTAATCTGAGCAGCCATGACACAGCAGAGGTCTGTCTGCATTAAAAGAATGCACTTGCTCCTTGGAACAGTAACCAGAAAACAAGCCAGGATAAACAACTGTGGATTTCACGTTCAACCTCCAAATTCTAGAACACATCTCCCAGTGAAAAGCCAAGTGTACAGTCCTGTGAATGGTCTCCAAGGGAAGTTAAGCGTACAAAAAATGTCACAGGACCATTCATTTCCCTTTCCCTTTAGATGTATGCAGACTTGCTACCCTTACTTCCCAGAAACTTTATTGCTGCAAGCAAGACAAAACAACTAAGTCACAAAGGTAAAGTTTACTTGAAAAAAGTATTTTGGAATAATCTGTATCTCAAGTTGTTACACCACTCCACTGACCTCAGCAGTAAGGTGAGCAATCAGAATTTCTCCCATAATCCACACCAGTATTACAAATCTCTTCTTTGCCATTCAGGCACGTATCTCCACTGTACTAAAAAAATGGAAGTTTTATAGTAGCTTTATAATTAGACTGCTCTAAGCAGGCAGGCAGAGAGCTCCTTCTACAATGGAAAAGGTGAGCAGAGAGTGAGGTATTTTTCAAAAACTGAAAGCAGATGGGTAACCCTGCCTCCTTGTTTTAGTACTGTCAGTGGTTGGGAGAGTATTGGCTTAGTCAAACTACAACCCTTTAGTTAATTCCTAGGGTCATGCAGTGATACTCTGCAATTTTATTAAATTATCTGATATTCAGGTAATAATGAAAATTACAGCTATGCTACTTAAAACAGATCATTCCATTGAGCCCAAACTGTAGTGACATTCAGGCCATCTTTGCTTTTAATTTAGCTTTCAGGTACAAAACTGGCCAATTAATATATTTGTCAGCAACTTGAAAGGAAAAAAACCCAACAACACTGAATTATCAATGATGAAAAATTGCATGAGCAAATTAACCCCAAAAGAATAAATCTACTGTTATACACCAGGTTTTCTCAGCCAAGAATTTTCTGCTAGCAGTATCTTTCTCCCCAGCACTGAGTTACAAAAATTATATTCTCTAACACAGCCATGCAGCTATTAAGCTCATCTACCCAAGGTACTCATATTTGCTATAAAAAAGCAGGATGTTTATTGTTTTCACTGTGAACTACATAATTTCTATGTAAAAATGTAAATGAGTTACAACTATTTGTATTATTACAGTCCTTTTTAAAATGATATGCAACAGACATTTCCGCGAGTATCAGTGTCAGCACATTTCATCTGTAACACAACCTGATACAAACACCATGAGCAAATGCAGTTGTTACTCCAAATTTATATATATAGTATGCTTTAAACCAGAAAGCTCATCTCAGCTCCATAACCAGCAAGAAAGTATGTTTTCTCCTTCATAAAATATACACAAGCAGCATATCCATGTTTTACAGAGCACTTTGGGATTTATTGATGGGTCTGGAGTTACCTAATTTCAAAATGGGGTACCCCTTTTGGATCCAGGACTTTCCTTGCAATGGAAGTGCAAATCAAAAGTACCACTGCTCCATCTCAACCTTCAGAAAATGTACCAGGCATTATGCACAAAGCAGTTAACAACAAAGTTGACGTTTTAGATGCATTTTGATACTACATTTTTCCCGATAAAGCTTATTTAAAATACCAGCAGGCGACCCATTAAGCAACACTCTTTCCTAACAAGCATCTGGACAATGGCTGAATGTTAATGAAGCTGGCTGCTGCAAGGCAATTCTCTCCCCCTCTTGTGTTTTCCACTGAAACACAACACTGCAAAGAGCACTACATGTATTTTCCCTTTCTCAGTTACAGAACAGGAACTGCTGCCTGCTCCTTGTAGTCTTATCTCAGATCTACCTTGATAAAATTATCTAAGCATCTTTAAAAGACCATTTCAGGTCTACCAGTGAGAAATAAGAAAATGGACTTAAGATTCTTATTATTGCACATATTTGTAACTAACTGTGCAACACTGACTTAATCGTAGAGAAAAATTGTGCGATTTTGCTCCACATACAGAACGAGAGCGTCGAGAAATTTAGCTCAGCACTAGATTGCTTGACAGACTACCTTACTACATGAGCAAAGCTTATCTCACTCTCTGCAAGCCTTAAAATTTGACAGTTCTTCACTTTCGCCAAGTTTAGAAGGAACTTTCAGATAACAAAGAAAAACTTACTGAGTTAAAACATGCCTCTAAAGAAACTGATTTTCAGTGTATGAAAGTGACAATTTTGTGTAGCAAGCTGCACCATACACACAACCTCAAAAGGTGATTTAACATCAACAGCCTTAATACAAGATCAAGTCATAGTAAGGGCTTTTCTCCAAGGAAGCTCTTACAAGTATTTAATGACTCATTAAGTAATTTCAGAGCTTCCCATTCACGATGGGGAAACAAGATTTACATACTTTTAGCATTAAATAATTTTAATTCAACAAAGTACTTGTATTTTATTTAGACTTGGGGTCTAAATTTGACTTTGCTGCATAATACAGGCAGATAGCAGCCACTCTGAAGAGTGCCTTTATTACTGTCATGGTGACAGAGAAATGGTGTAGTCCTAGCTCTTACTCTGCATTTTGAAAGGCAACAATTCAAAATAAGGCCCAGCTTTCTCATTTAGCATAATCATTCAAAATCCTGGAAGTTGGAGGATTTTCCCAGGGAGTGAGAAGCTCAGTGCTACAATAGCAGGCATATCTGACTCCAGCAAGATACAGCAGTCAGTACATTTATGATATTCCAATGGCATCAGCCTGATTTGTCCTTTTGGCTCTGAAGGAGCCAAATAAAGAGGAAGAAAGCAGTATAACATAAGTAAGTACCAAGCTAAATTCTGTATCAACAGCTCACATGCTGTAATGCAGCCTATCCAGAGTATCGCAAAAAACCCACATCAGCTCCAGCTCTTATTTGTGAGCAAAGTAATACTGGATAGGGTGTAGTGATTACTAACTGTAGGTTATTGAACAGGTGAAATGAGAAAAAATTTCAAAAACAAATACCTTAACATTGCCTTAATTGTCTCCTCTTATGTGTCGAGGAACATGTATTTCTTCACATCAAGGTCTAAAAAACCTGGTATGGCTCCTTGTGCTGCAGAAATACATGGTTCAACCATAATTCAGTATTATACTAATTCAGAAATAAAAACATGAAATAAAAAACTCCAGGCATAGCAAATGTAGGGAAAAGCTGGCAAGTTTTTCAAACTTTAGAATAAAAGACAATCCATTTTTATTTTATTGTAAAGCTGAAGTACACCATTAGTAGTCAAATATATTTGAAAATCTTTATTAACATCAGCTTTTCTCTAGTTAAGAGGTAGCAACTACTCATTAATTCCACAGGACAATCAGAATGGCCAAGTTCTTTGGTGTGGTTCAAAGCCAACAGAAGCAGAAATTAGTCAAGTAAGTGTAAGTTAAGTTGGGATGACCATCCCAAGGCAGAAACAGCTCTAGTATGCATAAGGTTCCTTTTATCTCTGTGAGAAACACTGATATCATGACTAGGTCGCCCGATCAGACTCCAGTCTCATCTTGGCCATTCAGGAGTGCAGCTGTTCCACAGTAACAGCTTTTTACAGGCAAATGATCAGTGGGCTCCAAGTGCAAGGACAGGTTCTTGGCACTTCTCTGGAAACAGTGAAAACCTAATTTTAAGTGGAAGAGTAACATTTCTCTAGTTTCTAAAGTGTGGAACAGGGTATTTTTTTTTTTTAATTTTTTTGGGGGGAGAGGGGGAAGCCAGGGAGTATTTGAGGTATTCGCTACTATGAAATGAAGCTTACATATGCAGTAGTAAACAGACACTAAGCATTCTGTTTCTCATTTATTTCAGGCAATGACAGTGGTAGAATTTAAACCCTCACATGAGATGAGGGCACAACCAATAATGACATTGTATAGTTTGTTTTCTACATAGTCAAATATATAAAAGTTTCATGAAACTCATCACTGGGTCAGTCAGCAGTCAGTCCATGAGTTGTCTATTCAGTTAGACCAAGCTTCTTCTTCAGAGATTCTGGCATTTCAGGTGGAGGTGGGCGAGGAAGTCTGAAATAAACCTTGACAGAATCGTAGATGAACCACTGTAGTGCAGTCAGGGTACCAATCATAATGATACGAGCAAACAGACCTTTCCATACACCTGGAGAGCAAACCATAAAGCATGAGCAGCATAAAATGGCATGAAAAAAAATACCTCCTCCCCTAAACACCAGAAACACTTGATCCAAAATAAATGAAAGAAAGAATGTACCTTTGAATCCAAGCCTCATAAGAACCTGTGAAGCTGAACTGCCCTTTTCTTTGTTCAACACAGACACAACAGAGTCAGCAGGATGGGAAACAATTGCACAGAATACACCAGCTGAAAGAATAATTTGACATTAGTTCTGTGGTGTTTTAGGTGTACCACTACTGTGTACACTAAGTACAACCAGCTGAAACTTCTGAACAGAAGAAAACAACCAGAAAAAAACTTCTGAATCTTTGGATATTGAAAATTCCCCCCTTCCATCCAAAGATTCCCAAGACTGAGAAAGATGCAAATTTTCACTTAAATCAGCCACAGTTTTTAAATCTGGCCATCAATACCAGTAACATATAGGAGCAGTTAAGAGTAGTGTCCTATTACAGACCTGTTTTCCCCTAAGAGACTGATTATATTTATTTCCCCTGCACATTTTAAAGTTGCAGGCAAGTTCTCCTGTGTTAGTGACATCTGCTAATGCCACTTTTCAGTTAATACTCTGAAAAGCAACAGGCCTCTAGATTTGCAGTATTCCATTAATGAAGTACAGAAGTTAAACATTCCTTACCAATATAGCCTGCAACAAATGTGACTATCAGCTGTTCTCCTTTTGTACATTCACTTCGTGGCTTGGGAACAACATACTTGTAGAGAGCTTCAACAGTACGTTCAAAGCAGGCAAATTTCATCATTGTGTATGGAATCTGTCTCATCCATAGCGGAGCAACACCTTTATAGAAACTTAATCAGAGAAGAGACAATCTCAGTTTCATTTTCTTCATTATTTAAAGTGTATTTCTAACCTGAAATAAATTGGCTTATTTATTGCTGCTACACAACTTCTATATACTGACCCTGTAATGCTGTCAATACCTACAGAAATTTGAATTGAAAATTGAAAACTAATTCCTGAGTATTACCTTCAAACAGCAACAAAATGAAATTTTCCTGATCCCCAGACTGCACAGCAGTTTCTTTAGTCACTTTTCAGATCACAATACACTGCAGCAATGTAGTACTGATACTACCAGTGCAATAAAGGTAATGTCTGCACACCAGCCAAGTCCTGATAGTGAAACATGACCTGTACATCTACAGCCACTTCTATCAGAACAGAAAGCTAACATGCAGTTATATTACTCTCACATGCCAATGACTCAAGCATCTTTGACTGTACAACCAGAAAGTTGCTGAGTATCTCTGACTGGAACTGCTAGAAACCGAAGTTATCCAGCAGAACTCAGCACAAAGATACTCACAAAGATGGATCTAAGGAGCATGTGGAATTAACAGACAGTTCAGCACAGATCACCTGAAGTATGTTAAATTCTTATCTTGAAATACAAAGTCCAAAAAGCTAAGGCCAGAATTAGTTATAAAACCAGTTCTTCAGTAATAAAATGTACTGAAAATCAGAATTTCAACTGAAAGGAAGGAATGCTTACGCCCAGATGCCTTCTTCTGCAAACATTTTGGGTAAAGCCTGCCGTAGAGTGTTTGCATATCCAGGCTGTGTCTGAATACGAACTTTAGCAGCTTCCATTGGAGCCAGAGCAATGTCAGCAAAAAACTCTGCACTGGCAGATGCAGCTAAATATAGCGAAGTACGCCACAAATAGGCATTTTCCTGGAAGGAATTGAAACATGTATTTTTATTATTTAATACTTTTGTGATTACTCCTTATCACTAATACTATTATGCTACAGACATACAGCCTTACAAAAAACACTTAAGGCTTACCTCTCCCAGCATGTTGCCATACAGGATTTTGAAAACTTCATAGAAACCAAATTTACAAAGCCCTTGCATGGAGTAGCCAATAAAGGTTGGAGCCCATCCCTTAGCCAAGCCACGAACACCATCTTCATTGATTGTCACTGAAAATCCATTGAAGATGCTCTTGTATTTTTGTGGATCAACCTAAAAAGAACACAGTTAAATGTTTGATATAGCTAACTATATTCCTTCTCACACCCCCATCCAAAATTGTTCATTTTTCTATTTCTCAGACAGCTGGCTTCCTATAATTCCCTGGACAGATGATGTACACACCACAAAGTTACATTAATGGTTACTTGCTAGTCTCAAATCCCGACTTATTTTAATAGCCAGTATATTCCTCAATACTGGCTATTAAACCACCAAATTTAATTTTCTTTCACTTTGATTCTCCAAATTAACAATGCAACTGTAATGAAAAGACTTACTGAAATCACTGTTCTAACACACCAGTGGTGTACTGGTGCAACTATGTATAGATCAGATTTTTTAAAAATTTAATGGGTCCTGTCAGCAATTTCATCTACTTTACACATTCTACCTATGTATATTCAAACACTGCCATAAACCTAATGATTCAATTGATTACTAATCAGAGAAGGTTGTTTCTCCTGTGTGATCTCTCCATGCAGTCAGACTAAAACAGATTGAGCAAAGCAGATCAAAGAGTACTCAAAAACTTCCACACTTGTACTTTGACTCAGCAATAAAGGCTACACATGAATTGTTTCCTGTCCATAGAATTTTGAGTCAGATTTTATTAACTTATCAGAAATTTAACACAGACTGACTTGAATAATTTTGTTTCAGGTGAAAGGAATTAATTTAGCAGAAACTTTTCAACAGGTAATTATGTAACATCCCACTGTTTCTTTTCATATTTTACATCACTCAACAGCTCCTCAGAGGATAAGAAGGAAAATATCAAACTGGATGCCCATCAAAGCTTTCAGAGAGAGCTATGGGACATGCACTGACTAGTATTTTGTCTTGCAGTCTAGGAACAACATACTTAAGATCTAGTTCACCTAAATATGTCAATTTTAGAAAGAGACATAATTTTAGAAAATTGAATATTTAATCAGGCACTGTAAAATGGGACAATGTTCAAGTCAGAACCATGCTTAATTATCAGGTCTGTAACAGGTGTCCTGGTTTCAGTTAAACCATGGCAAAGGTGACTTCTTCTTAAAAAGACATGAGAGGGCAGGCAACAGGTTTCTTCCTGGAGAATTTAGGAAGGATTAGTAACATGCTCTGTACTGGATCTGTAAAGAAATAAATGCTGACAGGTTTTACAAGATCACACCTGGAATCCACACGGAAACCCCCCTCCTGAAACTCCCTCTAAGTGCTGGAGAGGGAAGGGGAAGTACCACCACCCTGACCATACAATAAACCAAACTGGTAGCCCACACTGAGCATGTCTGATGTGTTACCGATTTCCTAGTTTGAGACCAGAATTTCAGATGCTCTCAAGAATATGAAAAAGTCTCTCTGGTAAACCTTAAATAAAGGCTATTCTGAAGAGCATGGTTTTGAAGAATAGCACATGCATAGTCCTAGCATGACAAACAAGTCTGATTAATTCACAGCTCACTCCTAATTTCAGGAGTTCTATAATTACAAAATGGCCATTTTTATAATCCATCTATGCAACAAGGAAATCATTAACTACTATATTTCCAGAAATTTACAAGAGTGCTTTAATTTGCTTCATTCTTGTAGATTTGCCTGATAAATCCATTAGTATGTTTTCACCCATGGCTGCTCACAAAATGATTTTAATGTATCACAAGTGCAATGTAAACAACGCTACTTTCATATTAATCAAAAAACACTTCAAGGAAAGCAGTTGCAAGCATTGACAACCTTCTTGCTACCAAATCAAGTTTTAGCCACACTCCTCAAAGTGGCATCATTAGAAAATATCCAATCTATAAGCCATGCATTGATATCCATGGTGTTAACGGATCAAATTACACACGCATGTCACTCCAGGCTAAAAAACGCAGATCCAGAAGATCCTATTTCCTTACTCCAAAAGCACTGGAATAATGCTGGACAACAAACCAGCCAGCAGAGCAACATTGTGGTGGATGCCTTTTAGCAAATATAGTCAGTTAAATGTGCCTTAAATGCTGTCAAAAATAATGCATCCAGATTATTCTTAATACCTTTACTTCTCTTCAAAGTGGTACTTTGCTAGTCTTACAGCAGTAGATTTGATAAAGCAGCATTCAAGTTTACTTGTTTCTTCTCATCCACAAAAGACTGCATCCCTATTGCCAACTCTTAATATGCTGGCTAGATAGAAAACAGAAGTTCAAGAAATGTTTAAGTTTATACAAACCTGCATTCGACATTTCACTAAATCCAGAGGTACGACACCAGTGTGTGTCAGGCCACAACTTAGGACCCCACCAACGCCACAGAGAGCATAAAACTTGAGCGAGCCATATTCACAACTGTATTCTGCAGCAAAAAATAAAGACACACCATGCTTTTATATAAACTCCATGCACTGTTGGACAGCCATCTCCAGGGTATACTTTATGCCTCCAGTTCATTAGTAATTAAATATACCACACTAAACATGCTCTTTCATCACATACCAACATGCAGAACAAACCTGCATTCTGCATTTAACCAGGTCTAGAGGAACCAGTGCCGTATGTGTTGTTCCACAGCTAATAATCCCACCAAGGCCACAAAGGACAAAGAATCTGTTTGAGCCATAGGCACAGCTGTATTCTAGTTAATTGGAAAAAATTACATATATATGATCAATCATAAATGGTAACAATGATCAGAAAAGAAACAAAACTAAGCGCTACTTTCTCAAAAGTATCAAACTGAAATAATCTCCCATGTTGTATTATATAGTGTTATAATAATTTTTTTTTTTTTTTTTTTGCTTTAAAACATTTTGGACTGACAAGATTTGATTCTAAGCCTTCCAAATTGAATTTGTTCCTTTAAATAAGCAAAGGAAGAAACACTGAAGTTTCAGCTCAGAGCACACTAAAACCATAGGAATTAATCCCAGAAGTTACTAGCAGAAACTATGACTCAAAGTTGCAATGTCCAACAATTTCTTATATCCAGGAAATAAGGATAATATTCCTCTAGTGCTCAAAAGAAAAAGTTTCTTTCATTAAATATTCTATGACATTTTAACTTTTGTATTTGAGACTATAAAAATCTACAGTATTGGTGTTTGAGATATGCAGACGTATTTTCAGGTACTTCTCAGATTATTTACACTGATTTTTTGTAAACTGTCTTTCAAATACAGAATCTCAAATGTATACAGCTTGTTTAATGAAACTGCAGATTGCTATTTATTGTCCCAACTGAATGCTCACACACGAGGTTCACCAAAGAATCTTTCAGGTTCCATTGAATCAAGAAATACTTCATACGCACTGTCCCATACAGTGTACATACTGTGTATAAAACCATCCAATCTTAGAACAAGTTATTAATTTTCACATATTCCTCTACAACGAAGCTACTGGAGCTAAGAAAAAAGAATCCATTTTCTTATTTCGTTTTTGAAGAAGTTACAGAGGCTATGAGTGAATGCACACAAGAAACACTCAAATTTACAATGAACAGTAAAAAAATAAGCATAAAGCAGCAGCACAATTCTGCTGCTATGCTCAACATTTTAAGAAGAGAAGTAAAAGCAAAACTAATATACTGAATAAGCATACAGAAAATAATACACTATGTAAAAAATATTCTCCAAAGTAGAAAAACAATCTTTTGCTACTAAATGTACTGGTATCATTTCAATATAATGGAATAGACATTGAAGTGCTACAACTTATTAAGAAGTATCTCCAAGAAACGCTAATGAAAACTAGAAGACAGCAAAAGCCTATTTTATATAGAGCTTTACTGCCATCTTTCTGGTTCTGAATTCTTTTATGAATAGATCTACAGAGAGCAGAAACAGTCTGTTTATAACTTTCTAGAATGTCTAGTTAAACACACACAGACCAGGCAGGTGTACTCAGAGAACAGACTCTAGGTCTGTTTGGGCCAGCGCTGTCTAGCTGTGTCTTTGGCTAACAGCACCACAGCCCTGCAGCAGCTACCATGCTGTCAGATCTCAGAACCACTTGTTCACGTTGCCTTTATCACAGTAATTTAAAGTCATGCTCCTCAAATGACAGGGACAGACCTTTATAGTAGCCAGAGTAGAATTTTATGTATGTGCTGGATTACACTGCCATTCAGACTGACCTGTCAGCCTGTCAGGTGTTCAAGTACAGTATTAAGAAAGCCAGTATCAATTAAGCTTGAGCTCTTTAGAGGTGCCTAGGATTGTAGTGGTACATTAGTATTAGGAAAACAAAGCCACAGTTGATTTTGGACTTTTTATTTCAGAAGTAGAGTCACATATTCTACAATTCATAACTTGAGAACCAGCTGAATATGCCACACAGAGGACAAGAAAGTCATTCTAACATACCCGAGTAAATGATTTAAGACAAACACCCTTAAGGTACACAAATTATACGTATGGCATAAAAATATATCTCTACTCTGTTGAGACAGCTACATTGTAGCTACTTCATATCTCTGCTTCCAATCTGACATGGTAACAAGGACAAATTCCACGAGCTAGTCATAAATACTTGGTCTCTGAGTGCTGCTGTGGTTGATGCCCTGAGCTGATCTCAGAAGGTCGTGTGGTTTGTACTGACTTTGTGTGACCTTGTGCAAGTTCACTTATCTTCTGTAACGTGTTATGTTCTCGACACGAAAGCCAGAGAACCAACTGGGTTATATGAAATAATAAATTCAGCAGAAAAGATTATAAAGATTAAAAAACTGGCCACCTTTGACCTCAACTGCCAACAAACAGGATGAAGATTAAGCATAATGCTTTAAAGAAATAAGTGCACCTACTGAATATATTTAGCATACCAAAGAGCGATTTAGGGCTTTAGTTAGCTGGCAGCAGGATTACTACACTGAAAGCCACAAATAATTTCTTGAAAACTTTGTAAAACTAACCTCTTTCATGTATTATAGAGATGTTCATGAAACTCCACTGAAACACTTCAATAATCACAGTACTTCAGAAGAGGCAGCTTTCTGAAAGTAATTCTTACTTTTTTTTTTCCAAGTAAAACTAGAGAGAAACTTTTGTTATTGGCAGCTTAAAAGAATTAGAATTTTAATATCCACCTCTACTCAAATGGACCTCAACAAGTTGGAGTGGCGTGCAGAGAGGAACTGAATTAAGTTCAATAAAGGCAACTGTAGGATCCTGTACCTGGGGAGGAATAGCCCCATGGACCAGCACAGGCTGGGGGCCAACCTGCTGGAAAGCAGCTCTGCAGAGAAGGAGCTGGGGGTCCTGCTGGGCAGCCAAGCTGTCCATGAGCCAGCAGTGTGTCCATGTGGCCAAGGAGGCCATTCCAACAGGGTATCCTGTAAAGCATTAGGAAAAGCACTGCCAGTAGCTCAAGGGTGATCCTATCCCTTTACTCAGCCCTAGTGAGGCTACAATTGGAGTGCTGTGCCCAGTCCTGCACCCCTCAGTACAAGACAGACATGGAGCTCCTAGAGCAGGTTCAGGGAAGGGTGACAAAGATGATGAGGAGACTGGAACTCTTCATTTCTGAAGAAAGGCTGAAGGAGCTGGGTCTATTCAGCCTCAAAAAAGGATGACTGAAAGCAGATCTCATCACTGTCTGTAACTATTTTTGGGAGGGCATCCAGGATGGATCCAGGCTCTTATCAGTGGTGCCAAGCAAGAGGACAAGAAGCCGTGGGCAGACACTGATGCACAGGAAGTTCTATCTGACAGTAAAAACTTCTTTATTGTAGTGACCACGAACTGAAATACGTTGCCCAAAGAGGCTGTGGAGTTTCCCTCCCTGGAGGCATTCAAGAATCTGGATACAATCATGTGCAATCTGCTCTAGGATGACCCTGCTTCAGCAGGGAAGCTAGACCTGTAAGGATGATGATGACAACAATGACTCATTGTAGTCCTTTCCACCCTTATCCATTCTGTGATACTGCAAGTATCATCAAGGTCTGACCTTCAGAATACAACAAATTAACTGGGAAACATACAGAAAGCACTTGCACTTAACTCTTAAGTGAAGCACTTGCACTTAACTCTTAAGTGCATGTCTGTATATTAAACAGCAAGTTATCTGGTGTATGCCCACAACTAATACACAGTAAAAAAGAACTAAACAGCAACAAGCACCCCTAACATATCTAGATGTTCAGGTGCCCAGGTATGAATAAACTGATGGAAAAAAAAAAAGAGAAAAAGGGAAAAAGGATGGGAGAGATGGTCTTCCGAATCCACAGATTCAGTCACAGCTCCTCTCTACCGATGAAAGAAGTACAGGCCTACAACCTTGGTGCCCGAGGTTGCAGGCCGTGCAGAGTCAGAAAAAGCGCTCTCTGCTCCCCGAGACAAAATCTACAGGGGTCTCTGTGATTACTCTGCACTAGAAGCTTTCAGTGTCCTTTCCCGGGAAATCCGGATCCCTCCTGCTCCTCAGCACACACCGCCGCGAGAGCGGAAGCACTGCCAGCGCCTCCCCCGCCCGTGCCCTTCCTCGTCCTCCAAGCGGCGCGTAGGCCCAGCACCGGCCCCTCCCGGCGCGGCCGTGCCCGCCGGGCGCCGGCATTCCCTGCGCCGCCCTGGCGGGCACGGGCCCGCGCCGGTGGGGTCAGCGCAGGCACCGCCAGCCCCGCACGCCCACGGGCCTCGCCCCGCCGCGGCCCCGCCGTCCCCTCTCACCCTCGTCGGCGGACGCGGCCGCCAGGCCCCGCCGCGTGGTGAGGGCCTCCGCGGGCTCCGCCGGGCGCTTCCTCACGCCGTCCTGCACCAGCTGGAAGTGCGGCGCGCAGAACGGGTTGTGCCGCGCGAGCGGCGCGATGGACGAGAACATGGCGACCTGAGGCGGGCGAGAAGAGCAGGGAGACGTGGGACCGGAAAACCCCGCCACGGCGCGGCCGCCGAGCCCGGCCGCGCAGCCGCGAGGCGGCCCTGCCGCCACGAGGCTGGGCCCGGTCCCCGGCGGGCGGGCGGCCCGCGCCGCCCCGACTCACCTCGCAAGATGGAGCCGCTGCGGCAGAGGCTGAACGCGGGCGCCGCGCCGTCACCTTGTCCTTCACCGCGCCGGGGGCGGGGCCGCCGCGCAAAGGTCGCGCCGCGATTGGCGGAGGCGCCGCGCCGAACGCCGCGCACGCGCGGCCGCGCCCTCCCGCCCCGCGGCCCCGCCCGGGCGGGGGCGCGCTTGGTCCGCGGCCGGGCCGAGCCCGCCCCTCAGCGCGCCCGGCCCGCTGCGGCGCCGCTCCGGGCTGTGAGCCCGCCCACAGCGATCAACCGCGCCCCCGCCTCTGCGCCGGCCCCGTCACCGCCCGGCTCGGGGCGCCGGCCAGCCGCTCCCGAGCCTCCCGCAGCCTTGCCCCGGGCAATGTCAAACCAGAGACACGCCCGAACGCGAGTTCCCTGTGCTGGCCTTGACCCGTGCTGTGCAGCACTCACACCGAACCATGAAAGCCTGCAGACCCCCTGGCCGAGCTCCACCTTCCGAGGGTGAGCTGCAGGGCACCATGACACAGCCTATGCTCCAAGGGCTGCAGCTGCTCACAGATTTGTTTCTTAGTGGTTTGTTAAAAGCAGAATGTTATGTAACGCAGGACCTGTGCTTGGCCTTACCTATCTTTAACTATGCCTTTTCCAGCACAGGGTGATTTCACTAATTTTTGTATAGTACAAGACTAGCACAGATAAGCCATCTCTCCAGTTACTGAAGTGGCAGTAACTCCACTTTTTCATTTTTTCGACCATATACGTTCAATTGTAGTGCTCTGCAACAGCATACACACAGAAGCCAGGAAAGCAAGAGACTGAATATCCCAGCTCTGACTTCTGGACAAATGATAGCACACCAGCAGCACCACACTGAAGAAACACCCCAACTTTGGTCAGCTAATGGGTTATCAAACTTCCAAGGAAGTCCCTTAGGCCGTGGCTCTACTCGCTCTATTTCACAATGAAGTTGTGAATCCAGGGAGACTGTCCTACAAGGACAAAAGTGTCCATTAGCACTGTCACAGATATCAAAGATGTGCCTCTTGAATAAACTACACTCTAGCTGCTCAAGTAGGAAAAGGACAAATGAAACTTGCATTCTTCAAATACTTTTGTTTAGCAACCAGCTGAGAGCCCAAAGTGCTCTTCTGCTCATTGCCTGTGGCAGCAGTAAAAACAAGCCAGAATTGTTCACTTTGCCATTACTTGTTCTGCTCTACTCACTTGCCTCTTTTCTATTATTTTATTATTATTTTATTGGATTTTTTTTTTTTTTATTTAAAAGCCAAAGACTGACACTTATTTTCGATTAGATGGTGACCTCTAAACATGATTGAGATTTGGGCTCTTACCTTGAAACTGCATATAAATGATTACAATTCTTGCTAACTTTTCTAATTTTTAACATATAGAAAACCTGTTTCTTCCAATTATAAAGGATGAGTAGATAACTATTTATAGACAACTAATGTCAATATGTATGCACAACTATATAGATGCTTATGAATTATTCTGTAGAACATTTCCAGAAAAAACTGGTTTTTGAGTTAACATCTAACAGCTGTACTATTAACAAGAACTACTAAACAGCAGTCTAACATAGCCCCATGAAAATACAGAGATAATATATATTCTTGCCGAATAACTATAATTTCACAAAGAAAATACCTACAACTTTTCCCAGATGTGAAGGAATAAAATAGCAATAGCCTGTAATTCAAACCACCTAGATTAATTTAATTAATTTCTGAGAACCATTGCAGGTAGTAATAGGTGAAGATTTGAAAAATATTACCTTCTAGTGTCAACCTCAGTCCAATTCACAGTAAAAAGAGCTATTGTAAATTAAATCCATCTTTTTAAATCAATAGCTCTACAAGTTTTATGACGCTAGGAAAATTTCAGTTTGCAACTCCAGAGTTTATTTATCTTTCTGTTGTACTCACCACACATCCTAGCCATTTCTACCCCACTTTCACCTCAAACTGCATACAATCAAGAAACTGCAGACTAGTTCTTGTCTTACAGTAACTTTCCATAGTTCTAACATTTTGGTGAAGCCTGCAAGCAAAATCAAAGCTCTTAGAAGCTTGTTTTCCAGCTTAGAAGCTTGTTTTCAGAAATACACAAGGTACTGAAACAACCATCCACAGCTTTGATAACCAGGTTAGCAGAGCAGCACTTGTTTGGGTTGTAAACTTGTATACACTTACCTTGTTTCAACATCAGAACTACTAGACCATGGTTCTAGAGTCAGTAAGGGATCATGTTTTACAGCCAATTGGAAACTTTAACTTCCAGCATTTCCTTCACCAGGATCCAAGCTTCCAATGTTGAACAACAGCAGTCACATGTTCTCAACACAGAAACTAGTGAAACCTCTATTCTTACTAATTGCTGCCATGGATATGGTTGTCTAATAATATTTAATTTTTTAAAAATCCTCCTCACACATTATATGGTTTATCTCTTAAACATCACTTTTTTTTTTCCTAAAGAAAAAATAAGAAGTGCAGTTATTGTTTTAACCATAGACCACCACCAATGCTATCACAGAACTTCAAGGTGAGGTGGAACAGAAAACATGTGGCTTTTTTATTTAATATCAGCATATACACAGGACTAACAGGTTTCTATGCCACCTTAGGACTGCTTTATAAAGTCAATTAGCTTGGAGACCCTGTGCTGTCTGAAATACTTGTACGTATGTATATGCATGTACATACCCATTGTAGTAATTTGCTGTTGCAAAACAGCCTGGTAAATTCCCTCAGGAAAAAGAAAAGCAAGTCAAAGGACAGTTTTAGACAAAGATAGGTAGACTTACCAAACACACAATAAAAGCCATATTAACAGACAAAAAACGGTATGCTGAAACACCTATCTTTGCAAGCACAACATTTAAAATTACACACCAAAATGGATCCCTGTATCTATTCCACCCAATGTGTTACTTAAGCCATATCAAAGTAAACCAAACGTACCATGCACAAGATATGCTACACAATTTTACCAGCTTAATTTGCAATTACATAATTTCTCCTGCTGACTATTCTTTGGGACCTGTATTATTTAAAGGCATTCTTTTTGTACTCAGCTTTTCTGCTTTGACTCTGCATAAACTAGTTAAAATATTTTTTAAAGATATCTTGTCCACAAAACTAGCAGAGAAGGTAATGAGCAGGAATTTTAATACCATAAAGAATTTTGTAAGTTATGCTACAGAAAACAAAACACATAGACCAAGCCTAGGAGGGATCCAAAATCATTCCATAGGGTAGTGCTGCGCATACTGTTAGCAAGTAAACTTGGAGAAATTCTTTCATACTGTTTCTTATGCAAATACAAATTAAGGTCTTAAAATACACAGAGAATTTACATGTAAGATCCTTCTCAAAAATGCATTGTCTGGACACTACTGAAGCTTTAATGCTCTCACCATGGATCAGATGCTGTAAGATTTATCTCAAGACTGCAAGTGAAACCCTCTAGTGATCCACAGCCTGATAACAGGCTCCCAAGACTGGATACACATTGAAAAATTAGCACAGAGTTTAAAGAGGAAAATACAAGCTGTGTGTTAATTCCAATTCAGACAGGAAATCAAGACCTGCCAGGTTTTCAGCACAGCATTCTGAGCAGTTTGACCAATCATGAGAACCAAACTCAAAATAACATTTTCATGTGCCCATTAATTTCCATGGACCTTTTCTAGCCTTGTTGTAGCCCTTGCCTTAGAAGGGACTTCTTAAACAACATTTGCTACATCAAAACGCCACTAATTTTTGCAACTGGATTTTGGATACTAGTCCAGAATGTTGTTTTATTTTGTTATTGGTTCTGAAAGTTCAAGCTGGCTCTGTCAAAAAACAAGATGAACTCATGAAACAAAAGTGAGAATGTGGAATTAAAAAAGGAACATCAGTGCCTATTGCTTCAGCACTTTGACACAAAGACTACATGCAGTATAATTGTATACTTCAGCTTAACTTATACAGCAGTAGTATATATTTAAGCACATGCAGCTCATAGCACTACTATGTGTTACTCCGACCACAAAAAATTCATGTTTGGGGACAAGATAAAGATCCTACTCTCAGAGCTACCTCACACCATTAAATGTCTGTAATAGAAAAAAACCCATTCCTTTCTTGAAGATGCATTGACTTCCAACTACAACTGAACTAGATGTGGGTTACTTTGATGATTTTTTAAGAAAACTCTTTACCATCTGTGAGGTAACACTGAAGAGCATTCTCCAAAACAGTGCAAAAATGAAAGAATGATGCCATTAATTGTAATTAACTTCAGTTTGCAGTATGTTTTGATTGTGGCTTGCTTTTTTCCTTTGATGATGCTAATAGTATCCCTGGAGGAGGTCAACTGAAAGAAAGAAAGATGTATTTTACATTCAACATGCAAAGTGGTGTGAGAAACAATTTAAAGTGAAAAGGAAGTTCCTTTAGCACTGAAGAACAAATGAAAGCTATCTTCTCCCCCCATCCAAATTAAAGACCTGACATAGGCTAAAGGACTATGGCACAAAACTGATACTACAAATATGATGAATACTCCACCCACCAGGTGACATGAACTGACCTGAGTTTATCAGATTTTAATTTTTTTTTCAATATGGAAGACTGTAGCAGCACAAAATGACACCACCGATACATTATTTGTCTTGCTTTTGCTGCTTTTCAGCAATGCATTTATTTGATAAGGAAAATCCACACACAATAAAATCATTTTTATTTTTCTCCATTTTTGACACCAAAAGTGAATGTCTTATGTTACAATTCCCTATAGGATGGACACAAGTTTAGCTATTTGTATTACTCAAAAATGCAGTTTAGAAGGAAAAAAAAACATTAAACAGGAAAAAAACCCCAAAACTATTGCTTTGCTACAAATTACCATGTTTGTCCCAAAGTTCACAAAAAGTAAAGCTTCCCCATAGCTATAGTCTACACAATAATTGTACCTAGAGTAAAAAGATATTGACTATTAACTAATGTTCTCAGCTTTTTATAAGTAGCACTTTAAGAATAAGTAGTATGATTTATTGCAATTTTGTACCAAGCAATAAGACTGAACATCTGTATGCTGCAAATTTAAGCACACCAAAAATGTATACATTCACTTGAAAAAGATTTTTGCTTATCACTCTTCATTGGTAGTAGTAAAGTCAGCTGCCTGCTCAATCAAGTTACACAATAGAGAGTGTTTCAGCATGCTTCCACTGAGAAAAATAGTCAATGGCATGAAAGTAGTAAATCTCACCTTAAAAGATGAAACTAGCAAAAAATGCAGCAATGCCCTCTTCATACAAGAATAAAACTTCATATGGAATTTTCACTCTTTGAGAATACTTTTCTACATGAATATTTAAAGATAATCACATAAAGCTGTGTTGGAAAGACCTCGCTTTAAAAAAAAAAAAAAAAAGACCACTGCTAATGTTGGAATTTCAACTGCTTCAGGTAACAATCTTGACCCAAAAAAGTATTTTAGTAGCAAATTATTATGACGTTGTTTTTATTTCCCACACATATTACTAATAAATAAGTTCCTCTAAGACATCGCTTGCCAATTAGATCTGTATTCAGCTCCTACAACACTGTAAGCACTAAAATGAAGGGATACATTTAAATGAAGTTACACTTAAACAGTTACTAATATGATACTGAGACGGTTACAGAAATCCAAACAGGTTTACAGTTACATTTACTAAAAAGTTACAGTAATCGACAGAAAAGGTTGCTGTTGTACTCTGTCTACAACCGAAGAGATCAAATTCGGTTATTTTGTTACTGAAAAAAAGCATCAAAAAATGCATTGCCCTTTTCCCAGGTTAAAATCTTCTCTGCTATAATCTAGAGACAGAAGTACAACTTCTTTTCTGTACAAAGGAAAAGCTTTAAAAACACAGCTTCACATTTTTCTACATTTTTGCCCTTCTCAGCTTCCAAGTTCTTGCAAAAACAAATATACATTTTCTCAAAAGTGAATTTAAAGGATGTCCACATTAAAAAAATAAAGCCTACAAAAAGTTCAAAGATTTAAAAAAATGTTACTCCTATGGCAGTGATCTACTTGTCCAAAGTCCAGAAAGTTATCAATGTCCTTTTAATATTATCTTTCTTCATTTATCCAATTTATCAGGTTCCAATCACATTATTTGTAAGAAGTCCTTGAGCCGATGAGAGGGCAGAAGAGTTCTCTACAATTAAAAAACAGGAGATCAAATTGGGTGTGCCTTTCAGAAAGATATTCATTCGGCACGGCCTGAAGTGACAATATTCAGGTATCTAGAAAAAGGATTTCCTTGATTAGTTTCCATTGACTGATAAACCAAAAACATGAAGACTGAAACAACAACAAAGAGAAGAACTTTTATCCACACGGGAACAGGGCGTTCTTTTTTTATTGGTGGCTTCTCTGACTTGATGTCAGTCGAGGTACTGTATTTTTGCGCATACTTAGAGTAACTTTCCTCCAGTATGAAGTCACTGGGCTCTAGAGGCCGGCTTGCAGCTCCTTTGATTGGTCTACGGCAGCTAGCACTGTTAATAAAACAAAAAAAAAATTAAATACTGCATATTTAAAAGAGCAATCTAAAGCACATAGGGAAGTTTTAGTATAATTAAAGAACTAAGAATTATTTCTGGTAAATACAATACCTGTAATACTACTTTTGAAGCTTGACAGATATGTTAATAATTCAGTGTTCAACCAAACACTTAAAAAAAAAAATCTCAAATGTTATTTCACCCTACCTACATAAAAAGGATCATAACTGGCAATCAAACTGTAGAAAGTGTCTCCCTCTATTTGCTTTTTTTAATGATTACTTATGCAGCCCTACTGGGATTTCTAAACATAAGATGATCTCTGGCCAATAAAGTATCTACTGATGGCTAAGCCAATACACAGAGCCAAAAGGCAAAGTAAGGATTCAAAAACCCCATGTACACTGCCAAGTTCCTATATACAAGGAGTACACATATATGATCTTTATTTAAAAGAAAAAAAAAAACCACTAGATTTAACTAGACCTCAAAACAGGAGAGCAAACTTCAGTAGTCAGCAGACACTACAGTAGTAGCAACTGGTACTATATATTCCCCTTATGGTTATGAGTTTATCCAACTGCATAAACCGCAGTTTAAATTGAAGCTTTAATTCACATGCTGGAAACACAGATGATTTCACGTCTTAACACAGGGAAACTTTTTCTGATCTCCTCTAAACAGAGGAATTGTTTAAAATCACCTATTTAACCAGAGGAGTTGCTTCAATTTTTGTTTCAATATAAAGACAAAAAAATCCCCAAAATGTACAAGTAATAGGCTTTCCTATATGCCATCCTTATTCACGCTAAAAGTAATCAATGTGGCTGCCACCTAAAGGAAAAAATAGGGTATCAAAGTTCTTTCTTGCTTTGCAAAAAAACCTCAAATATATGCCGCAACATCTTTCCTTAATTTAACAGCAGGCCTGAGCAGTTGCATCTAGCTAGAAACTTAAATATTGCAAGTCATTACCACAGAAAAGCCCTTCATAATGAACTTCCACCAGCCAGAAAGTTCAGTAATAATTCCTACTATAGTACCACCCTGTTCTCCCTCCTCCAATTTCAAAGAGGGGGCTGTTTTGGTAACAAATGTATGTATATAGAATGGAAGAGTAGGTAGCTGTCACAAATGTCATTGAGCCAGAGTCCAAAAACTGTTCCTCAGAAATCTATCAATATAATCAAAAGTTAGTTCTCAGCTTAAATAGATTTACAAGAACTGAGAAAAAAGCCCCCATGAACCTTAAAAATACCTAATTCCTGTAGGTGTTGATGCTTCATAAGGGAACATTTCTTTAAGAATATCCCTTTCTATTCTTCTTTCTTCTGTAGTTCTCTCCAGCACCTAGGAAACCAAAACTAGTTAGAGGCCAAACAGACAGCAAAACAAAAAGCAAAACAAAAAGCTTCTCAGTGACTACAACCATGTGCAATTTGTAAGAATGAATGAGTAACTCAGTGCCATTCAGGAAGTTTACTTCTTGGGTTTTAGAAGTTTGTTTAACCTTAATTATTGGCAGCCATCCAGTCACTTTTGGGGTCTTAAAGCATTCAGTGATCGCCTCACTTTCCTTTAGATAAAGAATAAGTTGTATAAATTCTATACACCTGTGAGCCGATGATGTAGATGACCAAAAAAACTTAATCATCACCTCTATCATGGCTGTGTTGAGCAGATCACAGGACTGGTTGTGACCAACATGATTTAAAAAGCACTGATGTGGACAATCTGTCTCTTCTTGCTGTAATAAATCATACAGTATGTAGTAGTAAATCACAGTAAAGTAAAATACTGACTGAAAAATCCCATCAGCAGTTTGGAATAGAACATCAACTTGACCCACAAGATTCAATTTGACAACTAAGTCTACACTGCAGTCATATTGTAAATAAAGTGTTATAGCAGCTTTATCTACAGCTACATGAACAGACAAACAGCATCTTGCAATGTAAAATTCCACATTACAGTATTACATTAAGACAATTACATATACTTCAAGGTGCTTTAGCCAGTTCTCCAAGAGATATAATTATTGACAGCTTGAATAAGTTAACAGTAAAAGAATTCTTTTCTTTCTTCATAACTGACAGGAATCTACAGATGCTTTTTTAATTCAGACATTTGGTCTCAAATAATTCTACTACTTGACTCCCTAAATTAAAGCACATTGCATTTTTTCAGGATAGGCTGATTTACAAGCTCAAAGGGAAATAACCAATTCTACTCTACTTCGAGCTATAAAGAATTTAAAAGAAAAAAAAAAATCTACATTTTGTTCAGAAAAATAGCAGCACAAGGAGAAATAACACATAAAAAGATATTTGTCTTAGGAAAAAAGAAAAAATCAGGTTTTCACACACACATCCAAATCTGAAAGGGGAAGATGTAAATAAGTTTGTATTCTGTCATGTGACAACACCAGTTTATTTTGACTGGTGTCACCTGGGTAATGATATCCTCCACCCCCTCTGTACTAAGAAGCACATACACACAAGATTTTTGTTCACAGAGAGTAAGCAAGAGCAATCTAAGTTTTAATTTATTTACTTCAGCTGTCATCAGTGGTTTCTTTGGTGTTCTTCTGGGCATGTCTGAGAGTTCACTGACTGACAGTGTAGGAGCTGCATGCTTGAAATTTCCAGGCACCCTATTGCCAACCTGCCGAGATTCAAAATTGTTCAAACTCAGAAACAGCCAAAATACAAAATGAAAAGCGGCAAGGTGGCAAAAACAAAAAATGAAAACCTTTACGTGCATTCAATATATGCGTGTTAGAAGTTAACTGAAGAAGGTTATGTAAAAGATATTCCAAGATCAGCAAAGGAAACACACTGCTTATCATTCTGAGTAGGTTCTTTTAAGCCATTTAGAAACATAAAAGCTATTTAGTGCATAAGAACAGCCAAACTTAAAAGCAAATATTCTGCATGTACTTAAATAAATTAAGAAATTATCTAAGCTTTTAAAGTGATTCTTTTCAGCCCTCCCCCCAAAAGACGTTAGATGGGACCTAGGTGTTGACCTGGTCCCATTTCAAAGTGAAGAGTACTAGGTACTAAAACAAATACTAAAACAAATAGTGTTTTCAAACACTACAGAATAGTCTTACTTTCCTTAAAACAGTCTTCTATTGGTCCAAAACAGAATGATTCTGTCAGTGAAGATATATTACAGAAGAATACCACAACTGATTAGACATATTTACTAAGCATATTTACTAGGGTCTCGTTGCTTGCAGCCAATATAGTTTCATTTATGGGAGTACTCTCTGATATTACAGCATCATCTATAGGCAATTGTTCTGTAGCTTCCACCTGTTTGTTTAAAACAAACAAAAGACAACAATTGAATAAAAGCCACTGGGACCCCAAGAGTGAGAGAAAAAAAAAAAGCTTGTCTATTATAAAAGCCTCTCATCACCCTTTTTCTTGGTGTTCTTCTTGACACTCTTGTAGACTCCCTAGAAAATGCCTGCAGAGGTCCACTTTTTGAAGATCCACTTGTCCAGACAGTCTCAGTAACTCCATCTTGAGAATAGGTCTATTCAAGCATCAAACACATGATCATATACATGAAAACCAGCTCCAAACATTGGATACTCACAACCAAAAAGCCAAAAGCCAAATAGCCAAAAGCTATTGGCCAAAATAGCAAAAGCCAAAATAGCATGCACAGAAGCAACAGGTCTACAATAAAAAAAACTGTGGCTCCTAATACATTCAATAATGAATAACTGGCTAGATTAGTAGCACTGACCATAATACCTATATTTGAGCACACTGTTGTTTAAATACAGAACTGAGCAGATAATGCCCAACAGCAAAACCTGCTAATTTGCTCACTGCCCTAGAATGAGCTAACAGGAGGAGTTATATCAAGTCATGGACAGCAGACATGAAGCTTTCAGGCCCATTACATTTCCTGCCTACACATACATAAAAATAAATCTACGAGCATAAGCAGAAAGCATCACTTTTTTTCCTACACAGATAGGGTTCTATTTTCTCAAGCAGAGTCAGGTATGTTTATGCACAGCCACCTATGTTTCAACAGGAACTAATCTTCAGCCACAGGGGACAGGGAGAGACACTGAATGATCTTAAAAAGTTTCCACATACAAAGATGAAAGTAACAATTTTCACATAATAGCAGGTTTAAACAATCAAGCCTGATACAGATCTCTCACAATTGAAGTAACAGCATGAAGCACCAAGTTTTTATAGCCATTAACAAACTGGCAGATCATTCCCTACTCTCTACTCTAAGTTTCATGCTCAAAACAAATATTCCCTTCAAAACTAATTCCAAGATGGAAAGGAAGGAAGATGTGGATCTGCTTCATCTAGATTAAACACAAGATTTTCTTTTTTATTTGGTTAAGTTTAAACATAAAAAAATATTTTTTTAAATACTTCTATCTTTGCACATTAACACCTCATACAGTGATGTATTACCAAGTTTTTGGAAGTTACACTCATTGCTAAAGTTATACACTGCAACTGGCGGTTACAGGTTCAATAGTCGAAATGACTTCACTAGAACAGTATCAGCCCCAAAACAAATGTGTTAAGAGAACAGGCTGAAAAGTATTTATTAATTGAGAGGAGACAGTGAAACTAGAAGCTGAGCTGCTTTATGGTTCTATGACAAAGTCTGTATAACAGCTACTACATAAACAGCAGAGGGAGCACAAGTGTTTCACTTCATTCCAAAGTCACTGAAGTACTTTATAAAACAAATGCACAGACCTCAGGTCCAAACAGATTCAGATTTTTTTTAGAATTATAGATTTCAGCTTAATTCTCAAAAATTCTTTACAATTTTAACAGACTTTTGATTAAACATCTTATAACCCCTTCTTAAATATTTACCAGACACTGCATTCTCTTCCTTCCTGCAACTTACAATCACAGTTCCCCACCTCAACCCAATACACTTTCTATTTGAGAGGTGTTCTTTAGAAGCTTAGAGAAAAAACTCTAATTTCAGAGTGTTTCTACTGCAACAATCCACTCAGGGAAGCAAATTCACTCATACTAGTAAAAATTACCTCCCCATTCCAGAGTATTTGACTGTGAATTGCTTCTGATGAAAGTTAGAAGCATTTGACTAATAACTGCTTCTCTTCTTCAGATGCTTTAATCATATGTTTTAAGTATCAACTTTCAAGTTTTTTTTCTTGCATGAAAAGCCTAGGAAAAACCAGAATCTACTGCATAAAATCCACCCAGACAAAATAAAAAAGAAGAAAAAAAAAATGGTTGTCTACAGTTATAATTATCCTCACTGTTAATGGAGCAGGCCTCTAACCCTATCAAAATGCAACATTCATTTTAGGTATACTAACACCCTGTAATGTAACCAGAGAAACTACAATGGTGTGGTACACAAGCAGTGTTCAGGATGTGCTTCTGTCAAATAACTTATGAGCAGTAGAGCTATAGATCATGACTTTACCTCAGCTATCACTTATCAAGTTACTATACAGGTAGTAAAAAAAAAAAATACAGGGAGGAATAGGGGAACACAGCACATGCAGAATGTCGCTATACAAAGGTTCAGGAGAGAGACTAGTTCTACATTGCTCCTTAACATTTACATTGTTAGCCTACCTCCTTCTGCCCAATGTCATTTACTATGACCTGTCAGACTCAGTTTTGAACTCCTACTCTAGAATCACCTACTGGATTAGAAGGGGGTATTTAAATTAGGGTTTTCTGCCAATTTTTCACTATGAAGAGGTAATTAAACACAAACAGCTGAGGTCAAGTTCATCCAGCCCTCCACTGCTAACTAACTGATAAGACTCATATTCAACCTCCCCACCCAATTTCTTTTGCAGCAGTCTGCCTATTCACTATCTATTTGCACTCAAGAGAACATGCCAAATGACAGTCTTGTCAGCTACGTATGTCTGGTCTAAAAACCAGCGCTGTACAGGATCTAGAAGTAACTAGCAAGTCTGCTCACACCACACTGCCCACCAGCTCAGCCTCACCATGCTACATGATGTTTCTCCTCTCTCAACCCCTAAATTATTAGGCTAGCTCAGAGATCTGAGGCCTTGAGGGGAGGAACATCAGGAGATGGGCAAAGATTTCTAAAAGAGGCTCTCACTCCAATATAGTTGTCCAGCTCTTTTTATTGTATGGTCCAAGGGAAGAGCAGGGGAAAGAGAGCAAACAGAAAGGGACATCACCTTATCTAGGCTCTGGACAGGGAGGGCTCTTTTGGCTCTCCACCAGCCCTGTTGGGGCTGGAAGGAGGGGTCTAAGTTTATCTGATCAGTGTCACAGGAGTCCTGGGAAATGGGGGGAAACATGGCCTGAGCGTAATGTAGCAGCTACAGACTCTCAATCTTTGTGCCAATGACACACAATGCACAACAGTTGAAATAGTTCTGCAGAATAAGCATCCCTTGACACATTAGCTGAAAAATCTACAATGCAATTCCACAGAAAAAAAGGGGAGGAAAGAAAAAAATATTCTCCACTTTCCGCTTTTGTCCTCAGCAAAATACATGACTACACACATTTGCTAGCCAAACGCATTAAGTTGTTCTTGGCTTCAAGCAGCTGTAAAATTTTACTGGGGGGGGGTGGGGGCTGGGTGGAGCTGCTTGTTTTGGGGTTTTTAGGTGGTTTTGTCTGTTTGCTGTATTAATAAAAAAAACCAAAAAAACCCAAAAAAACCCAACAAGAAGCAACCAGAAGTTCAAAAGTAAAAGGTTTAATAAATTAGAGTTTCTGAAGCATTTGGCAATTTTGAAATTTGATAATTTTTTGATTAGTCCTTTGATTAATTCCTGGTAATTGAAATACGCAAGTTGCAAAACATTGCATCTGTACTGCACATGTAAGATTGCAAAAACAGTAATGACCTGATACTAATACAGTGAAACTGGATGACAAAAAATTGAGTAAACAAATCATCACTTAAAATGCCACAAAAATACCTCACTAAATCTCTTTTATTCTACAAGGGAGTTTCTGAAGGCTACAAGTTTTGTTTGTTGATAGCAGAATTAAATATCTTCATTACACTGAAGCTGGCAGGGATTTCTGGAAGAAATACTATTTTGGAAAAAAGTGATTCTCACAATACAAGAACCTAAACATTAAGATGCTCATTATAAAGACCATTACAAACATAAGTTGCCTGATCAAATTAAAGAATATTTGGTGCATTGAACTATGTGTGTGTTTTAATTTTTGAGGTAAAATCTGTTCAGCTTGCACCCTAAAATGCCAACTTATAACGAGCAAACTAGTTATGGATCTCCACAGCTGTGTTGTATTACTCAATATCGTATAGCAGCATGTTGCCTGTTTTAAGAGACATCCATAGCTAAAGCATGTACATATAGACACACACACTAAATAGCAAGCATCTGGCATTTAAGTCACGGCAATATGCTAAAATACACCAAGAAATTAATAAGTCAGATTCTGGGTCACTGAATGTTTCTTTACGAGTTCTTCACTGTAGCATAACTCCAATATTTACTGGACAGATGAACAACACTCTAAAGACTCCAAGTAGCCTAATCTGGGGAACAGGGCATTTAGTGACACTTTCACATCAGAAGGACAGATCAGCCATCAACTACCAAATCCTGTACTCAGCAGTATGAAAATCAGAGGTACTTCTGTAAAATGCCTCTTCCATCAAGACAGCAGAACTAATATTTATAAGTAAAGAACAGGTGGTGCATACAGGTGGGAGAGCTACACTTGTTATTTATTCTTTTTCTTCATAGGAGTTTTTCAACAAATTTGTGTCTACTTTAGTGCTGCTGCTACAAATATAGTTGAAGAAAAAATATTACATAGACAACTAACGTATGTGTGTACACATATACAGACACCTATATATATAAGCATATACCCAAATACATTACTTCACATACTACGTTTAAATGAATCATTAAACAGATGTATTTAAAATGCATACCTATATTTGTAGCTATCTAATCATATATATACACGTATATAAAAATACATGTTAAAAAAAACCCAAAAAAACCCCCACACACCCCTTTTTCCAAACTTTTTTTTTTTTTGAGAAACCACTGCTTTTATTAAATCAAGTTGATAATGAGCTACCAACTGAAAGCTGTCAGCCCACGTGACTTAATCTGCCAGGTTTCCAAAATGAAACATGTTAAGATTGCCTACTATTCTTCTCCAGGAGGTGCTACAGCAGCTAGGAAGTCAGACAAACAGCTTTTAGCAGACCATAGCTTTAACATTAATACAAGCTAAAAACAGCCACTATAGTTAATTCACAAGATTTTCATGCTATATTAGAACAGGCTTTTTAAAGAACTTTTAAAAACCAGCATGGCTCACTTAGTCAAATGTGATGTTAAAAGTAGTAAGGTGTTTAGTGAGCACATCACCTGCAGTTAGTAGCTTCTCCAAGTGCTGCTATGACAAACATACCTGGTTGTGTTCAACAACTCTTTTTTGTTTGAGTGCTACTGGCATCTTCATCCTGGCTTTCAGAGGTTCTCTCTTCTCAAGCCTCAGCTCAGTCTTCGGATCTGCAACCAGTTTTAATATAACTAGTTTTTATAATACTAGTAGTTGTTTACTAGTTGAAATCAAATTTATTTTAATAAAAATTAATTTTGAGAGGCAACATAACTCTTCCGAGTTACTATTTCCTTAAAAAAACATAAAACAGGTATATTCCTCTATTAAATGTATAAGAACAAACACTTTTGAAGAATAACTTCAAAATTTTAAAACACTGATGCACTTATTTACTTTTTTTCTGCTAAAAATCCTACATTTCAGATAAGCCTTGACAAATCCATCAGTTCCATTTAGAAACTGCTATCAAACTGCAATTCCTTTAACCAAAGTACCGTTCTACTATTGACCATAGTAAAGGTATTGAAGCTTGTCAATACTGTTTGAAGTTGATGGTCTCTTCTAATATATGTCCTTTTATATAAAACCCCATTTTTTATGCAGTAGAAAGGAAAGTAGCTAGCAGTCATCTCACCAATAAAAGGATGCATTATTTCCACTGCTTTTCTAAAATTCTAATAGCTTTACAACAACATATTTAAGATTTGTAATCAAGAACTTTTTTATTTGGTAGGGGAGAAGGGGAATATTTGGGTTTGAGTTTTTTCCCTAGTGTGAGAGTAGCTCAGTATGTATATGAAGCATATGAAATTATAAGAAATCAGCTGTCAGTGACTGGGCTCTTGGCGGTCCCAAACGTTAATAAATCAATCTCTAACATCCTTTCCCCCTTAAAAGTGCAAGATATAAAAGTTGAAAAACAAGAACAAATATGCAAGGGAGATCAATCCAATTACTAGTTGTATTTCAACCATTTCTGTCCTATGTCCATGGAAATTCCTGTAAAAAATAAAACAAACCTACACCCAAAACCAAACCACACTAAATAAGTATCTTCTAACACTCCATTCAAGTAATTATTTAAAATCTGTGCTTTTCTTGTTTTTTGTAAATTGCACAATGGTGTGTTTTTGGTTCCATTTTCCCCACCACTACACATGCTTGATACAAACTTGATATTAAAACCCACAAAACACACAGCCAGGACTAACCAATCAACTCACCCCCAACTAAGTCTATAAGGAACAGAGCATAAAAGGGGTTGAACCATAAGTATTAGCCATTAAACAAAAAAAAGAACAAAAGTTTAATTAACAAACATTCATTCACTATCCCACAGTAAATAATTGTTGTGAGCACCATAAGACAAAATTGGATTAGTACTTAGGTATGAAGTGCAAAGAACATTGAAACACCAAATATGCAGTTCTCCTGTCTATTGGATTTACAGGCTCCATCCAGTCTGGGGAAAATGAAGGGACCAAGTCAGTAGCAAAAGGTTTCCTTTCCCAGAACAGGTATGTGGATCACTGTGCTGGTACTGCATAATGTACATTTCTGACCTGGCCCACAGCAGTATTTTACAGCCTTATTTAACAGCAAGATCATACCCCTCTTTAGGTTATTTGTATTGCAAGTATTACTCATGTAAAATTTGAATTGTTCCCATGCAAGTTCCACTCAAGCCTTACCTTCCTCATTGTCACTGTACTGGTCAGAATCATTGTTTCCATTCTGTCTGGTGTTCTCAGTAGTTGAAATTGCTGGGAGAGGCACAGGTGCCTTCAGGTCAGGACCTTGTTCCATCAGTTTCAAAAGCTTTTTCTCATAAAGTTTCCTAGTAGTTGCTGTAACAAGGAAGGATACATGCTAAAGAAACAGTTTTAATCTTTCCTGACTTGCCTGATAGAACTTGGCAGTTACATGTTCTTTGGGAAATTCTGAACATAATGTTTTGGGTTTTTTTTATCAGTTTGTATGGGACAGAGTGTCTCTCTCTCTCTACATATATATATACACACAGACACACACCTCTAGGTATACAACTCTGCCTCTAAGGTTTCTAACTTTTCAGTTTAAGAGAATTCTTAGATAAACTCACACCTCTTTGTACGCTGAAAGTTATAGAAAGAAAATCTATGGAAAGGGAATTTACCTCCTTCTTAGATGTTTTGCTTCATATGCTGCAATATACAAGTTGTTATTCCCTCACCAAAAAAAAAAAAAAAGGTGAATTTGATAGTACAAGGGTAACAGTTTTCATGCAGATTGCTCTATTATTCTCCTAATTCCCTTACCCTGAAATTAATTCCCCTGCCTTTTCCTTTTTGTCAAATTCAGTTCAATAACCATCAGAGGTGGTGTAAGCAAGCAGCAACTACAGAGCTTTCTGCCATCTAGCTATCAGGTTGGCACAGCTGTTTAAAACATTTTAAGTCTAGCACATACTTCCACATCTGGACTTCATTGGCAAAAAAATGTAGAGGTGACTAATGCCTGAGCTGTTAGCTGCAGAAAAAAAAATCATCTAACTTTTGAAGTTTTCTGATAAGAGGAAACCACCATTTAAAAGAAATGGCAGCCTCTCAAGAAAGAGTCCATACTTTCTAAGAATTAAAGGCAATAAATTAGACCAAATGTAAATGCCTTCCAGTGGACTACATAGGTTCTTGAGTACCATCCAAGAGGTACAGGATGAATGGCAAGGCATGCAGAATCAGCTAACTGAAAACATTACAGATAAGACTTTGAATACACACTGGACTGCAGGCTCAGTCATCGACACTTCCATCAACCTAGGATTTCAAGAACATTCCACAGAAGGCTCTGCATACTACAGACAACAATCTTTTTTTCAAGAGTTGTGAAATCAAATTCCCTTGCCATTAGGCTACTGCACAATCTGAAAGGCAAGGCACTTTGATCTCGCATCACAGATGAGTGCCCAAGGCAGGAGATTAGGCTGGGGTCAGGACTACTCCTGACATAGGCCAGCAAACAGGACAGAATGATAGGCTAGAAAAAAAATATTAGTAAAGGAAAACATTACTGCACAATGCAGTCAGTAGGAAATACTCTAGGGAAAGGGAAGTTCCTTGTTCTCATTCTGCTCTCAATACTATTAGGTTATTATGTAAGATGTATTTCCTATTTAAGTGAGCTCAGATCTAAACCTCTGTATCAGAAGACCTAACTACTTCAGCACTGAACTTTAACTAATAGTTACACAGCTTAAGAAGTTGGAACATCTCCAGCTGGCCTAGAACAGAAGAAGCAAGCTGCAGACTTGCCCACCTGCAATGCTTCAAGATTTCTCAAGGTAAACAGATGGATGAAAATATCCTAGGTGGAAAGTAGTATTGCAACAGTACTGGTACTAAAAAGTAACTGTATCAGGGAAACCTCACAAATGAGGTATAGTGAAAAATAAAACAGATTAGTATCTACTAGTTAAGTAACCTACCTACAATGGGGCCAGGATTTACTCCATACTTCGTAAGTTGCTCTTGAAGGTCTTCATTGCTCATCTCTGTTATATCTAGGCCATCCTTCTCCTCTGGTCTGGGTTTGTCAGTTTTCTTTGTAGCTTTCTGAGAACAGGAGGGAGAAATGAGAGAGTGCATTTCCAGTTAATACTGAAAATACATTTTTCTTCTAAGGGAACAGGAAAACACAGTGTACTAAACACATAATCCTAAAGGAAATTAATTATATTTTCACCCACGATCACTACTAAAGCCTATGTGAAACAGTACAAACATTTACACCTACTATGAAAACATGCACAAGTTTTCTGCTTAGGAAGGAAATACCCATTACAAATCTCCTCTGGAGTTAAAAAAAAATATCCCTCATTATTCTGGTCTTGTGTTTTAATTTGAAGTTCAAGTATATGGTGGGAAGGGATTAATTTCCTGTGACTGGAGAAGTAAGCTTCTAGCTGTTTCACCATCACTATGCAAAACTACAAATATTTATGTTACACTGGCATTTCTTTGCATTATTTTTCTACCCGATAGGTAATTGCCTCCTCTAATGATATGGACTAAGTTATTTAGTATCTACATATTTTCAACCAAGTTTCCAAAGCCCCTATTCCTACTTGTCCTGTCATTCTCTGTGAGATTAGATATTACGAGGTAAGTACAGGAAAGGCAAAAATCAGAAACAGTCTAATATGTTCAAAATCCTGCTTGTCTGCTTAGGCCTCTGCTACCTGTAGCTCTAAAAAATTCTAAACCAAACTCTGGCAGCACTACTTGAACACTTGGCAATGCACCATCACCACATGCAGATGGCTATCAAAATAATCTGCTGAGATGCTACTCCTAAATTAGCAGTCTTCGTTCAATCCAAAGAGAGTGATCATAACACTTCAACTTAGGAAGCCTCTGTTGCTACAATAGAGATTGTAAAAGTGAAGAGGTAAGACACAAAAAGGCATGCTTAGGATTTGTATGCTCTTTACTAAGAAAGACCTTGATACTGCTTTGAAATAAGTCATATTTGTATCTCAAAGTTGCATTATATAAACAGAAACAATTTCTGCACTTAGCATTTTTCTCAACTCATTTGTCCAGAGGGCCTATTGGTTGGTTTTCGTGGTACTAACAAAAAATTAAAATTCCAAATACAAATAGGCTATAAACAGTCAGTAACGATTAACAGGTCTTTTTCTTGTTGCATTTTATAAGATACCAACAAAACATTTTAAGATGATTTACATGAGCTAACAGTATCTATCTAGCTATTAATGCCAGTTTAATATTCCTTTGCATGCAAGCTTGGTCTTGCCTCAAATATCTTGGTATTTTAAAACTAAGCAGGGACTGAATGAGGGTTTCCTAAATATATCTGACTCCAAATTTTCCTCTTACTTTTGGATATTCCACCATGATAAACTTAAAATCAGGTGCTGAAAAGCAACAGAATTTCTAATAATCATGGCATTTCTTTAGCCTGCAAACAGTCAAAAAAGTATAGGGTCATTAAAGCAGCAGATTTGACCAAAGACAGATTTACAAATCACTTTATCAGTCATTCCACTCCTAATTAGTTTCTGAAGCAATTGAGCCATACACAAGAAACAATCAACTTGCAGCTTCACAAGACTTTTATTCACTTTTGAACATGTTGGTCTTAACAATATGTCAAGTTAAATATTGCATTAACTTTAATTTCATATTCATTGTGTTTTTTCTGGACTACTGAACTGTCCACACAGAAAGAAAAGTTCTGAAAAAATGCTGGGTTTTCTTGTTGAGATCTGTTTAGACTAATGACAGCTCTGGTGTTCATCCACATCAAGCAGATTAATCAAGATGATTGTCCGTATTTCAGAAAAAAACTACCATTCCAATGACACTTCAGAGAAAGTGAAATCCTGATGTAATGTATCTCTACCTTTGTTCACTTAGAGACCACAGAAGAGACTATAACAATATACACAAGATAAACTACTCAGCATTCTGGATGCCATTTCACTTTTTCCTGCACTACTGTCACAAACAGATCATCAAAACAGCCTGTTTCAGCAATGAAAAAGAGGAGGGAGGGGATGAAGGAAGTTGAAAGTAATCTCTGTTCTTCAATAATTGGGCCAGATCTGTTCATTTTGTGTCCTGCAAGGTCACAGCTTTTACTTTTGAACACCTATTCTTAGAGCAGGAACAAATGACTTCCCTCACACAAGTAGAAAACTGCCATTCACTGGACCACAAGGTGAGTCTCTAGAAGCATAAAGCTGGATAGGAGAATTTCTCACACCTCAGCTGTGATATGACAGCATCAAATTCAGCAAAAACACTAAATTTAATTATCACTAGACTAGTATTATAGTAAAATGCATCGCTACGCTTCCTGCAAATTATGACAGCTTGTCTGCTAGCCTACACCATGAAATAGATCAAAAGAGCTAGGTTAAAAGTTTAACATTGTAAATTAAATACAAACAAATGCAAAAAAACTCACTCTCATTTACCTGTTTGAACACCATTAGCAAAATGTCTTACTGTGGTGCAGAGATGAAGCACCTGAAATGAAACTGCAGCAGAATTTGCCAATGTAAGGTAGTGCCATTGACCACTTTGCCCATAATGTAAATATTTTTGCAGTAATACACCCCAATCTATGTAAATATTTTTGCAACAATATACCCATATCAATAAAGCCTTATCTGAAGATCTAATCCAATCCAGAACTCGCAGCATAATATTTCTAGTCATTGCTATTTTCTAGAAAACAGAAGATGGAAGATTATCTGCATACTTCACTTGAGAGATTTGTTCACATCAGGGATAGCAATTTGGTGGTGCTGTCAGGCTCAGTTTCCAATTGCTTAGGAACTAACTCTTCAAACAAGTACTGAAGTGAATTATAAGCATGGGGCTACCACACAGCATTCCCAGTATTCAGGCCACAGAAAAACAGCCTAAGAGAAGTTCATCTTCTCCACGTATCATCTCTTGACAGCGCAAAGCTTTCACATTTTTTTGCTAGCAAGAAGAGCAGACAATGCAAGCAAACAGAATTCAGGCTCAGAACCTACCCCTTACCTTAGGCATTCCTGCTGAACAGAAATGAACAGAGACCAGCTTCATCAGGCGAACTTCATAAGTGCCTGTACTGGTCCTAGCACTGTCCCAAAGACAAGTATAAGAAACATGCTGAAGAAGTCGTTAAATAATAAAACCAACAACTATGGGACATCACCAAAAACTATTTTCAAATTCCAAGTTAAATGGTATCTACATCAAGATACATAAGGATTTTAATCCCAAACAGGTGCAGCTTCATCACTAGACACAAAAAGGGTCAGGGCTCATTTACAATTTCTCTGAATGAGGTTAAGATAGGCTAAGGAAAGCCAAAATCACACCAACAGAATGCTGTTTAATTCTCCAGTCTGCACAGTTCCCTCTGGTAACAAATAACTATTTTTCTTAGGAGAAGTGAAATTAAGGAACTGGATATGCAAAGTGTTAATAATAGATTTATACTGTGAAATAGATAGGTTTTTACTCCCCTTGTACTTTTTATTCTACCATACACAATCATTCCCTGCAGTAGAATTTCCTTTTGTAAAAATCAAGTCCTACTGAACTTTTTAACCTTAAAGGTTTGGAGAGAATTATTTAATAGAGCTACAGGATAGACAAAATAAACAATGGAAAGAAAATTATGCAGCAGCAATTCAAAAGATACTGATACACACAACTTAGAGAATTCACTACCTTTTAACCTTAATTAGTGTAAGACTTAAAATTTCCAAGCGTATGCAAAGTAGTAGTCATAAATTATAAGATTATGGACTATCCACCCCTACTACCCACTACTTCCAACCCTCTCCTCCCAGATACTAATTTCCATGTTACTTGGTGAACAAAATGCACTCACTCAAAGTCTGAAGGTGCAGAACAGCCTGCCAGGAATTCTCAATGTAGTGGGAATTACTTTGGTCATCTCATCCCTGCTGCCCACAGCTTTCTCTCAGCCAGCAGATGAGCGCTTTTTAAAAGGCCACAAAGGATTTAAACTGTATTCTTGGTGATGTTGGTGTGGCACTTCGTAATTAAGACATCCAGCCATGTAGTAAGCCCCAAATAGATTCTCTGCCTTCACTGGGCACACACAGATGCTTTACACTGCCTCACCTATCCAGTACACTCTCCACAAACCTAATCTTCACAAACTACCAGTTTTATCATTATCTTCTCTTTTCCAGTAGAGAAGGGGTTGAAGCTGTTGTTACCTTGGCTACAGGTATCATAACCACAGCACTCTGACTATGAAGAGCTGGAGCTGGCTCTTTATTTACTTGGCTACTTGATTAGAACAAAAACTCTCAACAAACAAACAACCCTCCCCCCTCCCCCCATAAAACCAAACATCTTTGCCTGATAAGTCTCTTGTATGACCTTTCAAACAGGCCCTTCAGGTCCAGATGTTCTCATCCTACCTTCATTAACAGGAGACATCAGACTGATCTTTTTCATATAATCACTTTAAAGGTCAAAAAAAAATCCCTCAATATATTCATTAGAAATGATTCTTCCAAGACATTAAATGCACAGCAAGCTGAGTCTTAATAATCTATGCATTCTAAGCTCTGAACAGTTCCTGTTTGACAACAGCATCATGCCAATATTTTTGGTACATGCTTTAAAATAATGGTCCTAGAGAGGAAAAAATGTAATTTCATAGTTACTTTTCCTGTGAGCTATCTTTGCTGACATTCAGCTCATAACTAACCAGGACAAGGGGCATTCAAAAGCAGATGGTTCACCCTGAAGCAATAGTGTCTTGTGTAGCTAGTCACTGTCCTCAGATACCACTATGCCAAACAGGCTTAAGGGAAAAAAGCAAAAAAGTTGGTCAAAAACATTAGTAGAGCTGGAGAAGCTGGCTCCTCCCAACAATATTATCAGATTGAGGCACAAACAGGTGTGATTTTAAAAGCCTTTCCTGTTCTGGTAGGAATATATAGCCAAAGTGAGCCATATATTCTTGAGCTGGATAGAGCTAAGATGGAAGAGTGACAGAATCAAAACATAATTTGCAACATAATTGAAACGATGGGATTTTGTCTCTGTACAGCTTTTATCAATAGAAAATAAGCACCTGAACGCATTATCAAATGCTCAGAACATAGAAAAATGCCACTAAAATGACAGTGTAGACAGTTCAAAATTCCTAATGACTACAGCCATGTCGAAACTCCAATGCCAGCATTAAGAGACCCGGTACAGCTTTCAGGGACTGCAGCGTGGGTACTCAGCTTGCCTGCAGGCGTTGCTCACACCCGCCGTAAGACAAGCGCTGCCTGCCCCGTTCAGGACGCCTCGGAGCGCGCCCCCTGGCGCCCGGCCCCGGCCGGCCCCACCCTCCGGCCGCTCCGCGCACGCGAGGCCGGCAACCCAAGGCGGCTGCGGGCTCCGAGAGGCCAGGCGCTGTTTGCTCCTAATAAAGCCAGGGGCGAGCGGGCCCAGAGAGGGGCGGGGGAGGCCCGTTCTTTTACTTCATTCCGCCTTTCCATCACTGCTTGCAGTTCCAGCTTCCCACCCTTGTCCCTTATTTCTAACTTCTTACAAATGTCAGTGCTGTCCCTCCTATCCTCTCCTAAACTCACCAAGATATTTTGCTTTGGTTTTTCACCAGAATCCCAGTCCCCTGGGATGTCCCTCGCTCTTCCTCTTCTTTTCAATTGTTCTGGGGGCAAATTATTCTGGAGACACCTGTGCTAATCTTTCTGAACGACAGCTGATCACAGAAGTACCCTTATGCCAAAAGACATTAACAGGGACAAGTTACTCAGGCTACAAGTAGTTGCAGAACTATTCAAGTGGCACAAAGAAGAAAACAAGCACAGATCATCCAAGTTTGTTTTACTTGGCAGGTACTGTTTGGGATTTTTCTGAGTGTTTCGGTTGGGGTTGGTTGTTGTACCGAGGGGAAGGCGACACAACACAGGGCACAACGGACCCAAATCTGAGCAGCTCTCACTAGATTATTTGCCAAAATTCTGGAACTTCTGATGATACAGTGCTCTGATACTAAAACACAAGCATAAATAACACAGAGCCTTCCAGATATTGTCAACAAAAGTGTAGGAGAACCACCCATTCTGTAAACATCAAAAAACTCACTCACAATTGTTTGAACTTAAGCCCTCTTGAAAGGAAAACTCCTATCTAGGAGAGGAACTAGCAGTTCTGATATGTTCCTCCTCCAGCAAGCATGAAACAAGTCAGATTCAAGCTCATCATGTTTTACTCAAGAGCAGCTTATGAATGCTATCAGCAGACCACTCTAAGTCAGAGAAATATCTGTTTCACTGTAACTGCATTCAGTAAATGCCAAGTAAGTGTCTGAAATAGACAGAAATAAGGTAAATAACTTGGTTTTAGAGAGCTCTTCCTCTTGAAGTTACAGTTTTCGACTTTTTAGTTTAAGAACTGCTCTCTTAGAAAGTTAAAGCGTGAAAGACCTTCAAAGGACTCCGTTTCTCAGCACGCCCTCAACTAATGACCTTTGAAACACAGTATCTAAGACACAATTAAATAGTTTCACTATCACACACATTAGGACTCCGGAAGCTGATAATCACTATCCAAGCCTTTTCTCGAGATTAGACATCTTACAACACCAATTACAAGATTGCATTCTCAATATATGCAAATTTATAGTACACTTATGAAAAATTAAGAAAAAAATCACATTTTCCCAAAGAGGAAAAACTTCAAATGCCATCAACTTTCCCTCTTTCATCACACGCGTACAGTCTAAGAAAACAAGCACAGTGGACGAACAGAACAGGCACCAGAGGCGCTTTGCTGTAATACACATCTTAGAGGTACGAGCAAGACGTCTACATTAAGCAGACCCTCTTTACACTAAACAGTCCACATCATTAAGCGAAACAAACCAGCTGTTACCGCACAGCTTCATCTTTCATTTAGAGGCATTTACACCGACCAGCGCTGCTGCCGTACAACCGTACAACAAGCGGACCGGAGTCCTTTCCTGAGCAAGCTGCAACCTCGTACAGCTCTCTTGCTTCGCTCCTCCAACACAGCAATAGTCTACTCAGGACAGCGCTCGCCAAGCTACAGCAAAGGTTTCCCAGTTTACAGTCTGGGGGCTGTTTGCACGCTCCACGCGCGCTGGCGCTGCCTTGCCCCGCAGCTCCAAGGGGCGCTCCGGGCGGGACGCATCCTGGAGGAGCAGCCCGCGGCCCCCGGCACCGACCCGCCGTCCCAACTCGTCCCCGGTGCGGGGCGGCCGCCCCGCTGCCCCGCTCCCCCAGGCGGAGGGAGCGTCCCGGCCGGGCGCGATCCCGCCCGCGGCCGAGCCGGACGCTCTCCCGGCCCCGTGCGGGGACCCCGGCGCGCCGCGCCCCGGCGGGCGGGCGGGGCGGCCGGCCCCGTTCGGGCGGGAAAGCGGGCCCGAGGCTGCCGGGAAGCCGAGGCGGCGCGGGCAGGAGCAGCGGTACTCACCCGCCCGGCGGCAGCAGCTCCGCGGCTCCGGGCGCCGAGCGGTGTGGGCTCCCGCTCCTCGTCGCTGGAAAAGTCGGGCTGCGCGAGGGCGGGCGGGTTGCGGGCGGTGAGGTGCTGCAGGTAGAGCTGCACGTACACGTCCTTGCGCTGCTCGCCGCCCGGGAGGCTCACATTGTTAGCGATCAGCTCGCTCTTCAGCTTCTCCTTGGTCAGCACCGACGGATCCGCCAGGAACTCGGGCATCGCCGCCGGCCGCAGCCGCCGCCGCTCTCCCGGGAGAGGCACCAACAAAGCGCGAGGAGAAGGGGCGGGGGAGCGGCAGGAGGAGGAGGAGGAGGACTCGCCTGCTCCGCGCCAGGGACCAGCTCCACAGCGGGCGGGCGCGCGCACCGAGCGCTTCTTCCCAGCCAGCAATAAGCGGCGCCCTGATTGGTGGGGAGAGCAACGAAGCGGCCCCGCTATTGGCCGGCGGGCGGAGAGGGGGCGGGCGGCGCGGGAGCCGCGGCGTTGGTGCTTTGCGCGAGGGACAGTAACGCAGTTTAAATTCGGCTCGGGCGGGAGCGGCGCGCGGGGCGGCGCTCGCGGGCGCCGGCAGGGCGGGGGAGCCGCCGGCGCCCCGCGGGTCCCGGGGCCTCCGGGGCCCCCTCGGGTGACAGGTATGTCCCCGCCCCGGGAGCGCCCCTCCCTGCCGCGGGGCAGGCGTGAGCGCCATCCCCGTTACCTGCCGCGATCCCGGCGTCCTGCCGCCACACCTGCCGCCTCCTCTGCCCCGCAGGCACCTGCGGCCTTGGCAGAGCGGCTCGGCAGCTCTTTCCCCCGGGACAGCCGCCCAACCCTTTGGCTAGCGGGCTCCAGAAGAAATCCAGCCGGGAAATCAGTAGCTAATCTGTTTGTGTGACTGCCGCCGTTGCGGTGGCTTAAACGCAAACCCCGAACTCGCAGTACCGCAGAGTTTGAAAAGCGCTCAGTCGTTTTATTTATCCGTTTGTGAAGTCGACTAATAAAATGTCGCAAGTGTGCTCCTGCTGGAGAAGTTCGATTAAGTTCAACACTGCAGTCTTACAGTCTTTAAACAAGTGGGTTAAATCCTTCTGTGTTTTACCTGCTGCTTGCTGGGAACACGCACTGCTTCTGTTTTATGATGGGAAAGGTTTAGTGTTTAGATTTGACTACATGTCCTATGCTTTTGAGAACCACCTTACAGTATACCAAAAATAAGAATTTAGATGTAGCTATTTCAATTTCTCCATCAGTCATGGATCTGAAACGGGATTGTTGGTGTTTGCACCTACTCTCCTTTGTATTCCAGAAAGAGTTGTAAGTTGCTGTCAGGAAAAGGGATTTCCACTACTGTTGTGTGCTCCATCAAGAAGCTCTCGTGGTGCCTGTTGCTCCTATTTACCTTACCATAGCTCAGTATCAGTTAGATGAAGGTGATGAGGATTATTTTTTCTGGTAGGTAATTTCGAGACAGATCAAGGACCCACCCACAGGAAGCTTGACACTTCCCACTGAAGAATTGGTGTGATGTAACAAAATAATTAAGAGGAGGGAGAAGCTTAGCTTGGGACATTTAATTTACTTCGTTGTGCTAGTAGCTCTGTGAGGTGGCAGTCATGTGAAGTTCTTTATTATTTGGATCTGAAAGTGCTCGGTTCCTGGTGTACATACTTAACCTGTTCAGTTAGGCAACGAGACTGAACAGTGGGTAGAAACATCTTCCTCCATTAATACCACACATGCACACAGTAAAAAGTAATGAATCAACATGGATTGACTATTATTTATTTTAAGCTTGACTAGAACAAATTAGATGGTTCTATATATATTTTCAGCTATTTTACCCAACAATTTACCAGGTACATGGGCATTACATGACAGGTGTTTTAAAAATACTTAAAGGAAATTTAATTCCTGTTCAAATTTGATAGTGCTAACTTAAAGCATAGTATTTTTCACCCTGAAAAGCTTTTAGGTGGCTTGGGAAATAGTCTTTCATCTACCTTTAAGAATTTGCTTCTTTTCCAGATATGGAACAAGTTGCACAATATACTTTAGAGAGATCCTTCAGTTATCATACTAATGTAAAAAATAACAACTTTAACTCATATCAAGTCTAAAATTATTTAAAGCAGCATAAGGGATAACTGGGTCTGGGAAATTTCAGTCAAAGTTAATAGTGAAAATACAATCTAAAAAGTTGGTGTAGTCACCATGTAACATCCCCAAAGAGAATAATAGTAGGATAGCCCTGAAGCTTGTTTTTTGACAGTCCTTCTTAGTGCAGGCACCATTCACAACTTGCTGTACTGTTCAGATCCTGCAATACAGCTGGTGCTGGCTTTTCTTGTGAGTGCCAGTTCAGGAATGGAAGGAAGTACAACCACTGAGCTTGAATACATTGATGGCAGACCTGGTTTTAATGCATTAAGTGTAGCATAAAAAACCCCTACAGGAATACAGCACAAAATAGTAAATCCCTACAATTACACTCACAGTTCAGCTTTGGTCATAACAAATGGATAGGCTGACTTGTCTTATCTTGGTTCTGTGTTTTTCTGCTTTTGCTGTCAGATGAAACTGGCATAGGAGCATCAAGATAGCAGCTTATCATATGTTTTGGCTATTGTTCAAACTCTAGTATAGTTGTTGCGGAGCCACTTAAGGTTGTGGCTCTCATTAACATTGCTTAAAGTTTATATTTACAGTCCATTTAAATATTTAAAGTAATTTTCCCCAATTATAAAGAAAAAATGTATTTATTGTGAATTACTTTATTATGTTACTCTATGTAACTGTCTTGCACTGACATGGAACTCTTTGTTACCTCTAATTGCTTCCAAAGCAGCCAAACCTAAAGAAGCATGATATAATACTTCAGTGTCACTCTTCTTAGGAGCAACAGACTTCTCTGGGAAGCCAAGTCCTCGGCACAAACCTGTCCTTTATTGGTTCTACACTTCCTTCTGTGAAGCTTTCCAGTACTTGAATGTTTATTCCTAACTGCAAATTCTGGTTTTTGAAGACCAGAATACCTGCCTCTACTGGAGAAACAGGTAGCTACAGTTTCCTACTTGTCAGTATAAATGCTGACAAAAGCAAAGTTTAGGGAAAAAAATGTGAAAATGTTGTGAGACTGGCCATTTCCGGTGGTTAAAAGACTGCTCTAAGCTTGCCTAAAAATGTGAAATATGCTGAAAAGAGAAGCCAAAAATCCTTCCTTTGTAGGACCCTCCCAAATATCTGGAATTTCTTAGCTTTCCTGAGCATGAGAGATTTTTCAAGCATACATTCATCTTTGACATGAAAACACCGAATGCCTTTTAAAACTGTCTCAGATTTCCGGCTCGAGTTTTCCTAAGTTTGTGATTTCTCTAATGCCACCTCTAAAAATTAGATAAATAGTTTATGTTGCAGTATGCTGAAAAAAAAAGGGTATTTCTATATATGTGCATTCAAAAAAGTAACCTAAATTAAGTGGAGGGTCTGGAAAACAGCCTATAATGAAGGACAGATGTATAATTTGCATTCATACGTAACATTTGTCTCACAATAGATAACACAAAGACTATACATTCATAGCGCAGTCATTTAAGCACATGTTACAGACATGCTCTTGTCTTAGACTGAGCTGATAAGGAAATGTAAAAAGCTGTATGAAGTATTAATTCAGTCTTGGTAGGTTTCACTATGAAAATTATATTCCCTGTAAGACATGCAATAGAAACTGGAAATATTTACTAGAAATAAAATAAGCAGTTGTCTAATCATTATAGCACAGCATAACTACACTTTCTAGAAACAATTATTTCTTTCCCACAATCTTGATTAATTTAGAAAAATTAGGTGGCTTTTTAATAATTCTAGGTTTTTTCATTAGAAATGTCTGTTTTTAAGTAGAAAGGGAAAAGTGATAAGAAAGAAAGCACGCCTTAGTATAATGGAGCATATTGCTTTTAGAGCAGTTCCAGAGCTGGCAGCCACTGGGAACACTGCTCTGCCACTGTCACCTGAAACAGTGAACAGACATGTGAATAAAGGGATGCCCAGCCCTGTATGGCTGTCCCCAGGCAAGGAAAGAGATTTGTACAACTGCTTTAAAACGTCTTACTGCTGATCTTATGTTCATCAAAGGCCTATACCAACAAGGACTGAAGACAGAAGTGTCAGCTCCTGCTTAAGCATACTGTCAGAAATGAAATGGACAGTTTTCAGGGTGGTTTCCTACAATGAATGATTTCCAAACCAGAATTATTTGGATATTTATTTCTGTCAAACACAGACAGAAGCTATATTTACCATATATAAGCTATTACTTCAGCTCCACTGTTTTTTGAAGCTAAAGTGGACTTAAGTTTTTGCAGGTTTTTTTTTTGTTTGTTTGTTTGTTTGTTTGTTTTTTAGCTAGTAACAAATCCATAAGAAAAAACAGCTGTGTTTTTTCAGGTTACAAAATGCAGTATTTAAAAGTCAGGAAGAGACAAAAAGTACAGAAACACATGAGCTATTGAAATGCTGGTGAGAGACAAATACCTACTAGCATACTTGGAAGCCTCAGAATTAATGGAGTCAACCTGACAAAACATCTGTAAGGTCAAAGAGAACTATTATCCCCACTTCACCAATAGAAAATTGAGTAGGAGAGTTTGTACGTAGCTCAGGCACATTTAATTCTTTCATTTAGTTCTGAAGCATCACTAAATGATTTTGATTTAGGGGCAGTGACCTCTCTTCCTAAAGAACAGCTGACAAAACCTTAAACTGAACCACTAGTATTTGTGAGTGCTGCCAAAGGGGATGATCCTGATCTCTTATCCCGTCCCAGGCCATGCACTCCTGGTGCTTTTCCTGTGTTGGATCTAGTAGTTGTGCCACCAGATTCACATGCTGAGCTGACAGCTGCTGCAATGCCATTGCAAGATGTGATCCAAGTGGAAGGAGGGAAATGCACAGACAGCAGTGGGCAGGGCAGAGCGAGATGGACTGGTTTGTGACAACCTGCACATCAGGTATACTAGTGCAAACCACACTCTGAAAACTTTGACTCCTATAAGCAGATATTACCCATACTGCAAGCCAGAGATATTGTCTGGCAACAATCTGGAATGTTTGGAGCAGGGCACCTGCTTTGGCAGAGGTACAGGAATGCAAACAGATTGCTGCTACTTCTTACATCCAGCTCTCTGGTGGGTGGTGAGGCTGAGAGATAAGATGCTGTGTGGGACCAGGGAAACATCTAACAGATTATGCAGCTCATACAAAATGCATCCATCTAGCAGACTGTGCAATTAAAAGAAAAAGGACTAACCACATTAAATGGAATTCCTGTCAGTATAGCATGTGAGGCAGTCTTCCTTGTCTATTCAGACTTGGTAAAATCTGAGTCAGCTGAAATACTG